ACCCAGGGTTCGAACTAATTACGGTACACAGCACCTTACATATCTCGTACCAGATCTACTAAACAAACACTCAAACATAGCAGAAATGGCCCAAGCACACATTTCGTTTTTCTATTTAAAAAAAAAAAGGATTGTAGAATATGTACTAAATCACTCATTATCTGCAGTTAGGACGAAGTTGACAGTTGTGTGTGTTGTTGTGTTTGTTGTGGATTTTAAAATTGCTGTATCTTTGTATATTTATTTTGTTTATTTTCCTGTGTCTCCTCCGAGTGCTGTAAAAAAGGGGCTGGAGCCTCGTCAGAAGACAACTCGTCTTCTTTTGCCCCAGCCCCCCAGACCCTTTTTTGTGTCTGAAATAAAAGATACATACATACATACATACATACTAATATTTTTCAAATAACTTTTAGATTAATGGTCAGATTAGTCATACTGCAACTGTAGTTTTAAATGAAGTCATTGTAAGAAAGGTTAGATCAATCCAAAGTTTTTGCGAAAAGCGAACGGCCTTTGAAGTAGTCATCACCTTTCTATTTATTTATTTGTATTTATTTATTTATTTCCAATACTACTATAGGAGGTATTTACTGGACGCCATATTTGAGGGCGATGTTTAGAGCGCATGCTCAGAACGAGCTCACATTAATAGCCTGCTAAGACCGGCAACTGTGATGGTGCTAAATGCACGCTCCAAAAGGACTGCGGAAGCTCGCCGTCAGCACGCGCTCAGCAGCAGCGCACACGGATATGGCCGCCAGTGAATACTCCCTATACTCTGTTTCACCTTATGATGTACCGCAGGAAAGGCTTCAAGCGCGAGCTCCTTGCTCTGGGGCGCATCTCGGCGGCACAAGCTCTCGTGCGTTAAGAGCAGCTCTCAACGCTATGAGCTCGCGCTTCTACCCTTCTCTGCGGTACAACATAAGGCGAAACGGAGTATAACCTCATTCGGGGTTGTTGTAGGGTCGTACAGTTTGAAATATTACAAGCAGAACAAAAATATTCAACACAGAATTCGCAGGTCAATATTCGAAGCAAATATCGAAGTCAAGAATGAAAACTTAGTAAACAACTTCAATGCAATAGATACATTGCACTTTTAAAAACAGCATAAAATATTAGTTTATGATTAGTTCAAGTCTCTTTCTTGTTTTTTTGCGAGCCAAGAATTTTGGAGGCCATGGCTTTTGTCGTTCAATTCTAAATCTGGACAGACAAAAAAAGAAAAAAAACACCGAAATTCCGCTCATCATGATTCTTAAAAAAAAAGTGACGTAGCCGTTCAAGCACGTCGGCACAAACATCAGCGCGTCCTTAGGAGTGTTCACAGGAGGGAAAACGTCATCACAGTCGGATCGCGCTAACTCGGCTATTGGTCCCGAGTCCGCCCTTCGACGTGCTCATTGGACACGAGCCCCGGCCGAACAATGATGCAGCACTCGTGCCCAATCCCAGGCCTCGATCGATCTGACTGAGTTGATGGTGCGGAGGTCTTCTGCTTATCTAGGTGGTGTTGGGCTGGTCCGTGCCGCGAACGTTGCCTGAATAATGACTTGTGATTTTTCTGTATAATCTCTGCGATCTCAGATTCCATGTTCGAAGTTCGCTGTTCTCATCTTACGTACCCGTTGAACATGGTTAACATAGACCACTCTTCTATGTACCTGCTTCATCCGCCCGAACCCTTGGGCGTCGGACGTTCGAGCTCTCTATTCCTGTCGGTTTCTATCTACAATCGCCGTGGTGCACCACCGTCCATGATTGCGGGCCTTATGATTTCTTCGAGATGTGAAGGATTTAATGGTATTGTGCAATTTTATTTGCGTTCAACGAAGCAGTTTTATTTTGGCGCGCTTTTATGCGGCATTGGTTGGGTGTAACTGTAAAATAAACTTCCGGATAATTTAAAAGAACTTCATTGTGTTCCTTTTGTGTTTTAAAATTTTAGACTTAATGGTCATTCTAGGATGTTTAAACAAGTGCAAACTTAACATAAAAAAACCGTTGTCGGTGTCATTAAAAGACTTTTCGCGAGAAAAGTGTTGCGCATGTGTTGGATGAGCCTAAATGGAGTGCCGGCTTTTCTCTTGCTTTTGTTTGCGATGTCGAGGCTCCCCGGCATATGGGCATTGCGTATTTGGAAGTTTCATATCGAAATCTCTTTTTCGGCTGCGACTTCGTGATACAGTGCGCAATAAACAAGGACGGAGAAGGCAGTGGAGAGGAGGAGCGTAGCGCTGGATTTCTCTGCTCTCTTCTGCCTTCTGTCTTTGTTTATTGCGCACTGTATTACCAAGCTGTAAGAATGTACCAACTCTCTTGCATTGTCAGTTTGATTCCATTGCGGCGATAAATTTACCATAATCTATAAACGGAGACGAACTGCCACGTTCGGTATGGAGCCGTCGACGCAGGTGAGACCAGATTAAAAATGTGAAAATAACGAAAAAAAGAAAGGAAGTTTAGTCTATGAGAGCAAGTTACCTGATCAGATTAAATCCAAGTTTTGTTCGCGCCCAATTTCAGATCCCTACTAAATTTCAATTTTTTTTTATCGGACACATTTGTCCAAATTTGCATAGAAGCAAGGTTTTTTTTTTCCTTTACCTCTATAGCAGCATACCCGAGCCCCAAACAATCAGATCGCGTTTGAAGTGCTTTTTTAAACCGCAAAACCACCAAGTCATGACACAGCAAAAGGCGTCTCGATTTGACCGCCAAGTCGGCGCCGGAACCTCGGCGGTCTCATCTCAATCTCTAAGAACTGTACATGGGCTTCGACCCGTGCATGACAGTGAAATATCTAATAACTTGTCTGACATACATTCAGGCTTGAATTAGCGGTATGGTGTTTTTTTTAAATCTGCATTTTTTGTCACTGACCAAAAAGGAAGCAACGTATTGTTATGGATGTCTTTATGCCGGCCTTGCAGGCCATTGAGAATCTCGCTGTAGTCATCACGTAAAAAGACAAATGTGAAGACTCGCGTGGTTGTTTTTGGGCACATTAAATAAACAAATTAAATAAATAAATAAACAAATAAATAAATACCAATGTTTGTGCTGCTGTCACCTTCACTTTCTGCTACTACAAGTAGAAACAAATCTAGAGCTCTCTTAATCCTTCATGCAAGTAGAACTATAGAGCATTCATAACTTATATCGTTCTTGTTATGTCCAATTTAAAATGGTACTGTAAGAATCGCACATATTTTGTTTTACTGTGCGTGTAATAGCTTTCCAATATACGGAACGCTTTTTTACATACCACCTTCACAATTTATCTTAATCACTGTTCTGCATAAACAACGAGGCATGTAGAACCTTTTTTGCAAAAAATGTTCCCGTTGCTAAATGAAACCTAAGTGGAACGAGATCAAGAGGGTAGCAACACCACAGCGCACCGAAAACCCCAAGAGACGGACAAGTTTGAAAGTTGACATTTACTTTATACCGCCAGTCGATTCTGCACATGAAATATGGAAGGCGGGGGAGGGGGGAGAGGACTCTTGCCTGACTCGCCAAGATATTAGTGGGGAAAGCGGGGAGTAGTGCCACTAAATAAGCTACGCTTCAGAGTAACGACACTTCGCCATATTGTGTCTTAAAATCATGGTTGCCAGTTTTCTGAAGCTGTATCTGAAATCACAGGAAACGCTTCTCCGCCCTCTACAAATGTTTAAACAGTTCGCGACAGAGCAAAGCAATCTTAGATGACCTTCCTAACACCAACTCTAATGCTGAGGAAGCCTCCCTTATGAATCAGGACGATCGGCAGTTGTGTCTGCTCTGCATACGAGCCAAAATGGCGGCGCCCACAACAATATCGGGGAACGGAGTGCCGATACTCTAAGCGCAGCTCATTTAGTGGCTCTAGCGGGGAGAGAGAAAAAAAGAGCCGAAACGCTTCGTAACGTGACATGGCGATTAAAGTATAAGACTCCTGACAGACGACGCCATAAAGCTCCTTTTCAATAAATATGCCTTCCGCGAAAGGATATTCTACTAAAGGAGCTATACTGTCACAGGGACAGCAGAATGTTAATTACCAACGATACTGATTCCTTTGGGGCTGGCAACACAAAGTTAAAACCGAAAATTTTACAATCGTTTGAAACATTACTAGTAAACGCTTTTTTCATGAAAAATTTCTGGAACGCGAATAATTTGAACAATGTAGAAAGGAAACATTCGCAAGAAGCTTACGTATCATAGCCAGACACTGGCAACCACGACAGTATACTAAATTTACAGTGTACTAAATTATCCTGCTTGATGAAACCTAGAAATCATTGGAAACTTGTATCTTCTGATAACTGAAATTTAAAAAAAAATTATATTTGAGTTTAATGCTTTCTTCGCGGCGAGAAGTTTTGGTATTGCCGCCTGGTGGAATTTTTTCACAATTAAGAGTGAGGACACTTCAACTTCTGCTGGCGCAAGCACGTGCAATGCCGAACTTCTACGCCTTTTGAAAATTACAACATAACCGCGTGGTTAGCACGTGCACTACTCATAATGAGGAAAACAGAAGCGCCCATAGCGAGCTGCTCACCACGAATACCAGCAATACCCAAAAAGGGGAGTGAGCGTGCAGGCGAGTTTTTGAATAGCCCGAGACGGCGTGAGGGGAAAGGAGATTCCTATCGCCTCTGACGTCAGTTCTTCAAAGTTCTAACTCCAGGGAGACCCGAAATGATGCACCATCTCGCCTCTAATTCCGTGAGCGCCTACTGTTGAAAGTACTTCCTTTGCATTAAAGTACGCCAGCAAGAACCTTTCCCGAAATGGACGCTTTAGGGAAAGTAGCATTTGCTGTGCCGTGTGACACGAACTCGAACTCCTTCACCATTTCGAAGATTGTCCTTTCTACTAAAGGAGCTTAAGTGGCATAACACTAATTAGAGGCTTTAGAAAAAGGTGTATAAGACAAGTTTATATAAACAAAAGCTGCTGAAGCAATACAACAGTGGCTGCATTTACATTGTGTCGTGGGCTTAAAAAAACTAAATAATTTAGCTTAGTTGTATGGTAGCCTCACGCTAACCAAACCCCCCTCCCCATTTTTTTTTCTTTTGAAAACGTCCATCAAGGATGATGCTACCCTAATTAATGCGCGAAGATAAAGCTGAATCAGGCTGCTAGACGTAGGTTTCTGCTGCAGGTGGCAGCTGGCCTTGCACCCAGCGATGCACTCCCGCGGCGTCCCTTCGCAACTTGGCCAAGGTCTCTTTTGTCTCACGCATCTCTTGAGAGACTTTCGTCCACGGGCAGTGAAACCCGCGTAGCTTGGCCGTATACTGCAAAAACAAATACGTCAATTTCACCCTAATGCTTACCGTGTTTGTCGAAATCGAAGCCTTGAAGACTGCTACATCAATTTGCTCATGTGGTTCCTGACGCTTTGCTTGAGATCACCTCTTGTCGAAGTCTATATTACTACTATATTGCTATATTACTACGTCCGTGTACGTAGCGTTTTTCTCAGGCCGGCCTGAGCCAAACTCTCAGGGCTTTCTGCATGTTCTCTTCTATTTATACAAATATGATTTGCCAGATTTAAAAATGGCAGTTTGCTGATGATATGTACAAAGAAAGGACGACCTTTGAAAACACTTCTACAAACACAATACCTTGAAGTAGGGTGCACTGGAAAGGGGTAGTGTTATGAACATTCACGCGGTATGAACAGTTTACATAGCAGACGACATCGACACCGATTTTGTATCTGCTGAAAAACAGGTAGTCACGTCATGATATGGTTAGATATCACAAGTGTGCTATTTCTAGCATTTTTGAAGCTCAACGTACATGTCGCAAAATTATGACAGCACAAGGTCACTCAGCGTCGAGGTTGATATCTTCGATAGCGAACGCTCGTTTAAAAATGACCAAAGCATTCCGCTTTATTAGGATCAATGTTTTTGTGTTTCCTTTTTTGTACAAAAAGATTGTATTTGTGTGTACGAGCATTTAGGCTTCGGGTGTTCGTGGACATGAAAAAGAAAGAATAAACAATAACGAATAAAGAATGGTATACTCTAGATCTATCGCAGGGGGGACGGTGGCCGAGTGGGCTAGCGTACACCAGCTCTGGATGAGCATCGTACCGGCATGCGGTAGTGTATCACTACTGCGTGGTGCACGTTAAAGACCAGAGGCTACTGGTTGTACCCGCACTGGCTAAATTGCTCATCTACAGCTGGAAGACAAGTCGCCCGTTGAGGCAGACTAAGTTCTAGGCTGTATAAACATACACAATTTGTTTTTCTAGGTCTCTCGCAGCAGTTTTTTTGCCATAAATTTTTTATATGTCCGGGATATACAAGTGACCGTAATTCACAATCATGTTGCTTTCTTCTCACCCTTTTCAGCTCCTCCTCATTGTCGATTAGTTTTGAGAACGAACAAGGGCCAGATTCCATAACCTCCAGACTGTGAAGAAGAAGAAGAAAAAAAAAAGCCATGTTAATAAAGTTGTATCGTAACGTCGTCTCGCGCCGTGAACATACATAGGTTTGAAGCCGATATCGGAAGCAGAGTGCCGTTTATAATTTTTGTATAAGTCGTCAAATAGGAACCTGTCAAATAATTCTAAAGGTGTTATGACTACAAGGCCACGTTACAGCAGGGTTAAAAGCTGGGCTAGTTGGTAGTGGTTCATAATGAGACAAAAAGCGCAAAAAAAGTAGGACCAAAAGAATGACGCGTATGACCGACAAGCACTTGTATATCGTACGTGTCCTCATTTTTGTTCTATTTTTTTGGGCGCGTTTTATTGCATCATGGCACACGTTACGTTTTTTTTTGACGAGCAAATGAAACCGAAACAAATTGTCCACGAAAATGTCTTCATAAAATAGCGTGAATGAGAAATATAATTTTCCTTTACGTATTAAAACATCGATACCTGTGTCTCAAAATATTTCAGGGGCGCGAGACGCACTGAAAAATACAAATAACTCCAGATCGAAAAAAAAAAAAAAAGTAAACGGAAATGTGGTTTGTGAAACAAAGCTTTCGCTACCTTTTGTGCTTAAGAAAGTTGAGAGATTTAAGAGTCGGGCACAGCTGAAATTTTATTTTTTTTTCGGATGAAACGGAGCAAAACTCACGGCAAGCGTTGAAGTTCCTCCGCAGTAAAACTCAACGTCACTCGGAGGACGGCCTTCCGTAGATTGCCTGTGACCATGTGATCGTACTCCTCAGTTGAAAGAGCGTTGTAGTGGAGTCGGACAATTCTAGGAGACAAAAGGCAGATAGACGATGAGACACGTTCGGAGCAGGAAAAGTTAGAAGCGAGGAAAGTTAAAAAAAAAGGGAAAAATAATTAAAAAAAAGTCCGAGGACGCCTAAGCACTTTTTATGAGTTGTGAATGGGCGCGTGCAGTAGCGGCTCCCTCAGCTCCAAACGGAGCAACTCGAGTCGGAGTCCACGGAGCGCCTACCGAACGGCAAAAAAAAACAAAAAAAAAACGCGGCTCCTCAGCTGCTTTTACGCGATTTCCGCTTCCTCCCCTGTGCCAGGCCAACACCAGACGGTCTCCGAATAAAATGAAAGCAGACGATGGCGAGCACGATCGCTTTTATTTGACGCTGGTATTGGAGAAGTCTTTACAAGGTCGTTGAAGAAAAATCGAGTGACTTTACACATGAGCGCTGCTGTTCGAAGAGGTCCAACGGGATCGAGCCCTTCGCAGGGGGGTGCAAAGGCTGCTTCTTTATTACAAAAACCAACAAAAACATCGTCAGCACACGCAAAATATGGAGCTCAGCGAATCTCCGCCGCCGGTTGCGATACTTATATACAACTGGTGATGGACCGAATCTGCCGAACTTCAAGATTCGGCAAAGTTTGGCAAATAACGAACTTTTGAAGGAAAGTTCGGCCAAGACTCGGCAAAACTTCGGCAAATGTCTGCGCGCGCGCGAGAACGCGACGGAGCCATGGATTGCAAATGGACGCCGTGCGGTCGTGCCATCACCATCGTGCAGTGTAGTACAGCCAGTGGTTACGGCGAGGTGTGGAGTAGGCAACGCGGTAACTGTGCGCTTGTGAGCGAGTGTGGTTCTCTTGAACATTTTTGCCACAAGAATAGGAGATCGGCAGTAATTTACGCAGTCCACATCGCAAGTGACAAATGATCCGGTAAATTCTGGATAACGTGATTTTCCTTGGACATTTCCAGTGATGGAACGAGAGAAGTAGTGTGTGCCAAAACAAAATAATATTGCCGTTTACACTAGCGTTATTTCGCGATTTTCATGTACTTCCATAAAACTAAACACAGAACTATAATGCTCGACGTTGCACATCCGACCCCCCCCCCCCCCCTCCCAATGCCTAACTCTCTCTATCTTTCTAAATGTTCCAGTGTGTCCTAACACCAGAAACCGGTATTTTAAAGGTTAAAAGTGAGACGTTGTGAATATGGGACGCACACTTTCATGCAAGGCTGGCGTCAAGTGACTCAAATCGAAAAACATGCATATTTACAATAGTATTATTTCTTCTGATGAAGGCTCAGCAACCGTTGCATTCGTTTTCGCGCGCGCACAAACCGTTGACTCTCAGAGAAAGCAAGAACGCAGCGTTATTGCCTTCATTTTAACAATGCACAAACACTTGCAGGCTTGCGCTGATAATGCCTCAAAATTGAAACTATCGTAGCATGATTAGTGACTACGCACTGCGCGACGCTCGCTTCTACTCAACCACGTTGTCACGGCACATCTGCAAGGAGTCATTAAAATTGCCGGTAAACACACAAAAACGACACCGATACAAATATCTTGTAGAATATAATGCCGCGCGCCAAGTAGGCAGCGCTGCCGTAGCCTAATGGTTATCGCGCTTGCTTCCCACGTGAAGGGCCAGAAATCGAACCCTGGCCCTTCGCGTGGGAGGCAAGCGCGATAACCATTAGGCTACGGCCGCGCTGCCTACTTGGCGCGCGGCAATATCACCTTATTTAGTAATAACTGTGTCAGTATGCGTTACAAGTTGCATTTAAGTTTAGAAGAAAAAAACATAAAACGTTTTTTTCGCTAGGAAAAAACTAAATATGAACGTTAAATCTGGTAATAATGTATTTTTGCCGAATCTTTGCCGAATCTTAGAAATGTTCGGCAAAAGTTTGACTTTGCCGAATCCCAGGATTTGCGCCGACATTTCGATTCCGCAAAAGTTCGGCCCATACGTTTGTATGGGCCGAACTTACAACCATAGGTTTGTTCTGCCCTTCGTTACGAGCTTCCTATAAAATGTATTCGTATACACACGGGAAGTTCGGCCGCGCTCAACCATCAAGGTTTCGCCGGCCGAAGCGAGCGTCAGCCAACGTAGACCCCGATTTAGCTACGCAAGCAAAACATTATCGAGATCATGCTTTGCGTGAGGCTACCGAATTCGCGTTTATACCCGCCTTGTTCAGTTCAGCGCGGACAGGACTATCGTCAATGTTCACCCAGTTTCCGAGCAACGGCGATCAAGACATGGTGTCAAATGAACGTTTACGTTGTTTATTAGCATATTCAAACGAAAAATATTACTGTCTAATGCATTTTCCGAAAAGAGCTTTACCAGAAAAAGAAATTAGAACGCGTTTTGCGTCTTACCTTGAGCACTTTTCATTAACAAAAGCGAGCAAACCGCACACCCGCGACAGAACTAAGGATGTCAGAACCGACGCAGCCAACGTTGGACGCAGCTCCTCACACCATTTTTTTTTTTTCTCTTTTAGCGCCGGAACCTCGTCGCGATCCGGAATTACGTCATGCTGCGCTCTTTTGACTCCTCATGCACCGTCTTCGGAGAGAATGCACGAGAGCCTGACTCCGAGAACTCGGAGTAACGTGCACCGGAAGTCGGTCTTTGCCGTCTAGTGCAAGGAGCGCTGACTCCTTGACTTCTGGAGCCGCTACTGAACGCGCCCAACGCGAAAGCATGAATGTCGTTCTTCCGCTCCTTAGTTCGTCTGCGGCGTAGGGGCGTGGACGGCCACGTTTCGCCGGCGGACGGCCGAGCGCGCGCTTTTGTGAGGTGGCCGCGCCGCGCTGAGCTCGGCCGTGCGATCCCTCTGGAGTCTGCCCGAACGGGCTCTTCTGGCCCTGCCACCACCGCTCACTCCTCTTACCGGCGACCGCGCCGCTGCGTGCGCTACGCCGCCACGAAGAGGGCTCCTCTCATGGCTTTTTTTAGGGGCGAAGCTCCTTAGGGGCTAGCCATGTCCGTATGTCCGTCCGTTGTCCGGCGTCGGGTGCTCGTGTAGGGCAAACGAAACAACAACCGCATCTCCACGTGGTGAATGATGTTGATTGGGGCGAAGCTCTGGTGGTGCTTGTCTGCGTAGACGCTGAGCCGCAGCATGCAGAGCCTTTCGTTCGTTTTCATTCATGTCAGAAAGAGAATGTGTGGTATGGAACGTGGTTATATACGCATTTGAGCATTTGACCGCAGCGTGACATGGATGAAAACGAACGAAAGGCTCGGCATGCTGCGGCTCAGCGTCTACGCAGACAAGCACCACCCGAGCTTCGCCCCAATCAACACCATTCACCACGTGGAGAGGTGGTTGATTTTTTTAATTACGCCGCACGAGAGCCAATGGGAGCCTCGTTTGTTGATGACACGCGCCAGCCAATGGAAGCATAATCCATCAGAAATCGACTTCTCCTGGGAAGGGGGATTTTAGGTACCGTTTGGCCAACGTTTGGCGCGGTTTCAAAGCTGACGACGGTGGCTCGCTCCTTGGGACATTTAATGCTTCCGCATTAATAACAGTGCCCAGTGCTACACTCCCAATGCTTAAATATTTCGGTTCTCTCGTTACACCTACAGTGTCATTTTGTGTCTTCGCTATAGTAACCGCTTGAATATATCTGGTTTCCAATAATTTTATATTTTAATAGTTTACAGGTGTTGGAATTACGACTTATGACAAGAATGCATTTAAAGTGCTTTGGCATAGTTTCATGGAGCATTCCGTGGAGCATGATTCAAACAAGTGAGCTCCTGTCCACTTGTGATTGCAACGATGCAGGCTCACTTTGCTTTTGGTGAAAAGATAAATTATAGGTGGCGCTCTGCCCAGCTTGTTCGCTTAAATGGTAAAACAAAATGGCTAGGTGGCGTAAGCTACCGCCCGATCCAAAGGGCTCAGCCGTATTCATCCATCCATCCATCCATCCATCGCTACACATCTCGGTATTAAGCCGACCCAGAGCCTGTGAACTTGATTCTTTACACTAACTGCCTTGATAAAGCCTGGAGATTTGACAGTAGTGCTACGTCAGTATTCGGCTGAGACGAGTGTTCACATTACTGGTTGCACGCAAGCCGCAAGCGAACACTGACGATAGAGTTCGGATACCTCATCCACGCGCTGTTTCCGAAACAAATATATAATTTATGGTTATGATGATAATGCAATTAATGCAAAGGTGCTACCGAGCGCAACAAGAATACCGATAATAGGATTCTACTTCTCCAGGGATCATAATCGTTACTTATGGTTGTTTCATAGACAGTTCAAGTGAACCGTTGGGAGTCGTGACAGATCGATTTCCTGCCCACACGAAGCACGGCAGCGTCAGAATGAACCCATTCATTGGCATTCTGTTCATCTGTACAATTGTGTAGACTAGAGTGCTTCCATGTACTTTATTTTAGGGCGACGCCACGTTCCGTAAAAGCTGTGGCCAGCAGTAAGTGATAGTAAATATATAAAAGAAATAGCGTGATCCGAAACGGCGGCAGAGCGACGGACCGACCAAAGCCCTTACTTTTGACCAGCTCAGCGTTCCCACTGAAGTGTACACCTTAGTGTTGACAGAAGTGAACACCAGGTTAGTCAAAACGCCCCGTGTGTACTAGAACCACTGTATGGTTTAGTTGCCGCAGTAGCGCCACGCTTTTGCCAGTCTCTCGCCGCGATTTGTCTAGAAATGGACCATTGCAACTAGTCGAAATGGCTCAGTTTCCATAGTAACTGACAGAGTCGAAGAGCGCTGAAAATTGCCGAAGTAGCGATCGTATATTCCAGAGCGCACTCCGTCTGCCTTTCGTCTGCTTCTTTAGCTTCTCCAGTGCGAAGAAAAAATTGCCAGTGTCCGTCTCAGCGTGCGTTGAACATACGGTGAGTGAGCTACTCAAATCTTAAGATGTGCTCGTGCAGGTATGCCAACGACGCGTTTATGACTTTTACTCACTTTTACCAAATTTTATTGTGTTTCAATGTATGTATGGAGATATAAAATGAGCCATAATAAACGAACAGGCCGCCAGTTGCTGCGGGCAGCTCCGTTTCTATGATAACCTCTAGGCCCAAAATGAAGATTACAATTGGCGCTCCTGATGTGGTGCATCTAGGTCTTCTTTGCGTCCTGCGCTACTCAGGCAGTTAAAGCTGCCATATAGAGTGAGTCTAGTGTGCACTGCTCTTTCACGTGAATCAAGCGAAGAACAGGAACTCGTTAGAGATTTCGCTATTCAAGGTCGCCCGTGTTTTCGAAAACTGCTATTGGATTCCCTGTTTTCTATTTCTATATATATAAAAAGAATCTTACTCGTCCACAAGGGACTCGTTGGTGGAGTAGCCAGCCACATCCAGAGCCAAGCTGGGTGAGCTTTCCTGCCTCAGCAATGCTGCTACGCGTTCCTTGTCCTCTGGACTCCCGTGACGAAGCGCCATGCCCGCCACCTCAGTTTCACTGAGGAAGGACTTTTCGCCCAGCCCTCTGTTGGCCATCAAAGAAATCATCAGTTAGTTTTCATTCAAATTAAGAAACGTAGCATAACGACGATGTTTTTCTTTCTTATCACGCAGCGATACGAGTTTAAGTCTGGAGTGTTGACTACCAGAAGCCAAATAAAGATTGAATTGCAGCGTGGCTTTTACTTGTCTGCGTAGTCAACACTCAGCTGCACGTCAATACACTACCCTCACAAGCAATATAAGTACAAAGAAAGAAAGAAATCCCAATCCGGATTTTTTTTTTTTTTTTTGTGCATTTGTGGTTTTTAGAAGCTCTATTGTTTCTCAAGTCGTCAAAACATCTGAGGTATGATACCTAAACTTTGCACTCAGTTCGTAGATTGTACCACAGGTCTCTCAAACTGGCAGGTACGTCGACGAAGCGTGAAGGAGTGTTTCAGTTCATATTGTCCACGATAGTACGCAATTCGCAACCCCAGTCCGTCGCTCGCCCTCTAGCGGATGAACGAGGAACCACTTGAGCGGGGACGGCGGCGAAGACGGTGGTGGGGACCGTCGGCCTTGGAGCTGCTGTTACCGAATGGTCTTGACCTACGCGTTCGTGCATTATGCAGCTTTAACGAACAAAAGCGAGCGCGATATCAACATGTTCATTTTCTTAACGCACGTCAACATCTGCCTCATTTGCGAAGCTCTGACCGCTTCTAATTTCAGCCAAATCAATTAAATTTTAGCACACTGACCAGCTTCAGCGAGCAGGCGCACTGGAAATCCTGGAGAATCTCTCCCCGTCTCTTCCGCCATCTTGGAACTACCGACCCGCCATCTATAGGAAGTTGGAGTTGCGAACGTGATAATTCAACGACTGACGTCTGCCGTGTTGAAGACATCACAAAACATCACGCACGCGGATATTTGAAAAGAGTAAAAACACGTTACTCGATTTTTTTTTTTCGTTTTCATGTGCAGCTTTTGTACTAGGAATTCGCAATGACATATTCCGTTTCCGGTGCGTTTTCTCGATCGGACATACGTTCTAAAATGCCTTAATCCCGCTTTCCAGTCACTGCCGCCCCGATGCCAGTGATCGAGAGAAGCGTTCACGCAGCTTGGGTGGTCGACGCTGCATAAAACCTTGACCACCGCTCGACTCTGCCATCTGGGGACAAAAGAAAGTTCACAACGCTGTATAATTCATGCATTCTGAAGACTGGAAACGTACGCGTATTTCAATAACATCGTTTTCTAGTGTTGCAAACATTACGCTGCCACGTAATTACTTTGAATGAACTACGCTTTCATTCTCAGTTTTACATTAACAGGTTAGTTACAGTTACAGTTTGTTTTATTAATTCTGGACGACTCACCTGCCATCTGCCTCTGCATTTCTGCTGTATGATGTTACAGATGCCGCGTCATCCATAATAGTTGACACTCGTTCCTGCGTGATTGACGAATTCATCTTATTTGTTTCAATGATCACTCCGCTGCTCAAACTTGGTTTGCCCACAACAGCTACAAACGTTTACGGGAAGTTCCGTTTTGCAGGTAGATTGTTAAACACATATCAAGGCGCGTCATAAAAAAAACAAATAAGCACTTCGGTTGTACTTCAGATAATCGTTGTTTGTCATTAAATCTCGGTGAAATTGTTTACGTACCGACACGTGCATTCGTCTAAAAACAGTGTCTTATCCAGAAAGCTACACGCTGTGCACTCAGTGCAAAACCAGTACACAAGATGCATATTGAAGGCAAAATTGCTATAGCGCCTACAAAAATATGTAATGAGACGTAGCCGAATGTCGGTATAGCAACTAGGAATAAAAAGAAAAATTGATTTAGCTGCGCAGTACAACCTTGCACGACGAGTTGCTGAACGAAGTTACATTCCACAGCCGGAAGGGTTACTTGTTTGTATATGGTCACCATACCGACTATTGGTTACACGTTTGCGTTCTGCGCCCGGTGTGTGTCTTTAGAGAGGGAGTTGGCGGTTTCTGGTGTATGTTTTTTTTATATTTTTTCAATATCTGAGTATTTTCTAGACGACCATTACGGGTGGGTCTGAAGAATGCTCCAAACCGGAACGGCCTTAGCGGCTGAAGGGAATCATGGGAAACAGCTGTCAACTAGGAACTGCGTTTCGGTTTCCCCCATCGTATCACGGCCAACCCAGCGGACCTGTAGCTCGCCGCAGAGTACCTACCGGTAGTCTTTGTGCAATGACTTTACAAGACCAAGTAGCGCGGTAACAGTGTACCCTTCTTCTTGTGACTTTATTATACCGTAAACATTCAATGCCAAAGCAAACCACGTCGCTACAACGCAGGTGAGCTGACCGCTGATCGGCGTACGCCGCTTTCCGCACCTAACGCCACTCTTTCCTGGGAAAAGTGGCGCCATTCATTGTTGTGAAAATGCTCGAGACACGTGCCGCGCGCCACTTCCGGGAAAAACATGGCGTCTGAAATTAGCTCAGTGCTGCGCTGTGCCGCCATGATCTTCCCAAGGGCTGCACGTTGCACGTGCCTCTTGAATCGACGCACCTGCCGCTACTTTTAGAACATAAAGGGGCTTTATGAGCACTACGGTGATGAGCGCCAACTTGGTGTGTGCGTTAATTTGTTCTGAACTTTGATAGGCTTCGAGAAGGGCTTGTACCAAGATTGCGATACTTTACTAAGGGGAATACATCTCATTCCGGAGAAATACAATGGCTTTGGCGCGGACAGGTTTCCGGTAGTTCAAACGGCTGGATGGGCCGCAGCGTCGGTTCTCGAAGTGGGAGTTACGGCGAGCGCCACCTATCGTTGTGGACGTGGCGGCTAAAATAATTTAACTGTATAGACGCTTTGCAGCAGCTGTGCATGGGCGCCGCCATAACTGACCTTCAGTTTTTGTTTCCCCTTATTACGTTTACTTCACTTCATTATTACCATAGCAGGCTAGGTCCCATTGCCATCCCAGATTTTATTCCGTCATAGAAACAACAGAAATAGAGCTCAAACTTTAATGCTAAACATTAGAACCTCCGAGCAGTGGGAGACCGTGCTGCTCAGCTCGGACCCGGGTGAACAGGTCCGTCTGGTCAAAGATGGCCGTGGCCGCCGCCAAGGAACAAGGACTCCTGGCCGCCAACTGAGGGGGGAGAGGGGGAGGCTCTCTCAACACTCCCCCTTCCCTGACCCCATCTATGGGCAAATTAAATGTTGTCATCATCATCCGTCTTTCTCCCCAGCATTGGCCTTTGTGGAGGCTCGTCCACACCAATTTTAGTAGCTCGGTATCTCGGTAAAACAAGAGAAGGTCAGCAATGGCGGCTGCATTCTGGCGCGTGTGTAAAGCGTCTATTCCGTTCATCCCTAAATTGACAATGCGATGGAAGCTACACGCTCGTTGAACAAGTCGTGCGTTTATCATTCGCCACGCGATCACACCCCTGCCAATACTCGCGCGCAGGGAGCGAGGTTAGGGGCAAAAAAGGGGGACTGTTCACTGGTCCAGCGAGGACGCAGATACCACCGTACTATCCACTTAGGCGTGAACGAAGTATAGGAGCTCTATTGTGTCCAGTGGACGGGCCACAATCCGTTCTGTCTATGTGTCACAGCTTGTGTCACAAGCAAAAATAAAACAGGGTATTTTTTTAAGAATTGTATTTGCACACGCTACTTATTGAAATAAACTGGTAACTGCTAATTAACTGTCCTCAAATTAAAAAAAAAAACAAAGCTACGGATAGATAGAGATCCTAAGAGTAATATAACTAGTCGATGCGGACGAGTTATAAAACTTTTACACAATAATTATTCGCAAATACATTAGTTTTTGTTTTTACACGGTAGACAGGGAAACTTGAAAACAACAGAACTATAGAAAAGCTGCATAATTCTACGAAATCATTATGTACGCTTTATTTCTCGAACAACTCCTTTTTGGCCTTCAACAAAATATTTTATTGTTCAACATACGAATAATACTCCACAGGTTTCGGAAATCGCTTTTGTAAAAGTGATCGGAGCACACGCGTTTTTCGTGCAGAGGCTCCGGTCCCTGCTCCTTGAAATCAAGTGCGGCAGGCATGTAGTGAACTAGCCATTCCCAGAAGTTGGAATGATATGCCTTGTCGTTTACTTGAAGGTCATAAAGTCAGAAGTAATACAGGAGGTAATAAAAGCTGCATACTTACATGTCTGTTTCCCGTGAAAAACAAAAGGACAGCCATTACGCCTACAAACCGCGGTTCTTGCAGACGGTAAAGTAGCCAACAGTCTTCCCCATTATCAGATTTTCATATCGTCAACTACATCCTCATCTACAATTGTTGCGAGAACACTGAACGCCACCCGGAGAAAAGATAACGCAGTCTAGCTTGACACCGAAGCAACGTCGTGTGCCGGGACTGACAGCACGTTGGAGCGGACTGCGCATGCGCTGACGGACGCAGACGTGCCACCACACCGCAGGGGGAGGATCCGGCGCTCTAGGCGCGCTGTTTAATGCAAGTGAACACAGTGGAATCCATTCTTCCTAGTAAGGTATTTGATTAGCATCGGTCGGGCTTTCATCTCATATTGAGTTTGCTCTTTAACTTGCATTGTTGCAACGCGGTTTGTTTTTGGCCATCAAGAGCTGACGTCAAATAAGTAACGAGAAGAAACCAGTCCTTTGACTGCAGCACTTTCACATGCATATCAAATTCATGAAATCTACAGCGAGGTACGCAGTGATAGGTTGAAAAGTAGAGGTCCGTGGTGTCTGCGGCTGACCGTGGTACGATGGGGGAAACCTAAACACAGATCTTGGTTGACAATTGCTTCCTAGAGTGCCACTCAGCCGCTAGGGGCGCTCCGGTTTAGCACATTGTTCGTTGTACAAAACTTATAAAGACCAAAATGTGTTTAGAAAATTGCATGGTGAAATCACTACTACAACTCACATTAATACATCAAAAGGAAAGCGAATTTAAACTGGATTTACAGATATAAGAATACAATATTTGCAAAATTAGTACCGATAGAATACGCTCAATCTTTTAAATACATATTTTTTATTAAAAAAATAGATGTTCCTGTGAAAATCAAAAATGACATACTTCAGTGGACTTAACAGCAGTATCTGGAAGTTCATTGCACTCTTCAAACGCTTCAACAAAAAGAAATGCGAATTGACTTATGTCAGCTGCGTTGCCAGCTCCAGTACTACGGCCATCAACCAAAGAAGACACTCTCTACTTGGAGCGAGGTACCTTCAGTGCAGAATTAAAGAACCTTAAAATGATTTAGTGTCTCTCTGGTCATTGGGGTGTCTGCTTACGTTGTAAATTCATCAATCGCCACGGTTGGCGCCACTCTCGCTGCATCTTCAAAACTCAGTCTTACCATTATGCTTTTCGTTAGGTTGAACCGTTGGAGGTAAAATTCAACGGGGCTCATTAGCGTATCTTCCGTCTCCAACCATGCAGGGTGACCCGACGGGTGACTCAATAGGGGGAGCATATTCAGCACGCTCTCCAGCGGTGCCTCGTCCGATCTGCAAACCATTGCCCATTCAGGTGATGAGGATTAGACCAAGTTATTAGTACTACGGCCATTACCGGTGGTGCCCATAATAAGTTAACTCATCCCAGTGGAGAACTCCTTTCTCCAGATTTGTGTCCAGAATTTTTTTAGGGCACAGCAAAATAACTTAACCACATATAATCTTAACTTGACACACAAATAATAAAAGAAACTCGGGACAAGGGTGGACGAAAATATCTTTCAATGAAAGACACGTTCGTCGTTCCTTGTTCCAAGTTTGTTTTATTTATTTTTTGTCAAGCCAACTTTACCAACACGCTTGACAGTTAGTTAATTTGACAGATCTTTTTTTTTTTTTTACTGAAAATTGTTACATTTTGCTGTTCAACCCTGAAGTATTGTCCAGACAACAATGAGGTGGTGCATACAATCTTCGCAACTGCAGAAAAAAAAAGTGATAATAGGCTATGAAATGACATTTAAAAATTGTATCCTAACCTTGGAATTTAAGTACTGCATAGCTTCCTGTTTCGTCCCGTCGGCTCTTGCTCACGTTTAACTACAAAAACGTCGCCACTTATTTATTTATTTTTTTAAATTTCAAATACCCTTAAGGTAAACACATTGAAGAGGGAGCGAGCTATACAAATATTTAGAATGCGCACATGTTAGTAAGAACTTTCTTAAACAGGACAATATCATTGATGTTGGCAATCGGGGCGGGAAGGCGATTCCAATCCAACGACGTTTGAGGCATGGAAGAATATTGAAATAACTATGTTTTCAAATTTGCAATGCCGACCTTATGGCTATGATTAATGCGAGTGGAGATGTAGGATGGTTGGTTAATTAAGGGGGGGGGGGGAAATGGTCTTGACGAAGGAATGCATTTGGTGGAATATTGTATGAAAAAGACACAAACGAAGTATTTTACGGCGATGAATAAGTGATGGTAAACCTAACGTGTTTTTCATTGTAGTGACGCTGGCTGTGCAGTGATAGTTTGACAGAATGAAACGGGCTGAGCGGTTCTGAAAGGATTCAAGTATGGTAATCAGTGACGAGTGAGCAAGGGCCCATACGGATGCAGCATATTCCAATTTTGGACGATATAGAGTTTTATACAAGGGTAGTTTCAATGAAGACGAAGTGAGGAAGAGATTTCTTTTCAAGTACCTTAAAATGCGGTTAACACTGCTGGCTATGTATTAGACATCAATCTTCGAAGAAGGGTTTCACGATATGTGAACTCCAAGATATTTATAAACAAACACTGCAGCGAGAGGTTTGCTGTTAAAATGGTAGGTATAACAGTCATATTAAGAACGTGATACTCTCATTGATTTGCATTTGTCAGTGTTTAGTTCCTTTAGCCACTGGTTACACCATAGCCATATCAGATCAAGGTCAGATTGTAAAAGGATGGTGCCGCATATGGCAGTAATTCTTCGATAGATTACGCAATCGTCAGCAAACAGGCAGATGGTAGAGGAGATGTATAATTATACGTCAGATTATAGTCTTTCACGCGCAATTTTTACACTTTAGATGACATAACTTAACCTGTATTTTTCTTTCCTTCGCTCTCTTGGGTTTAGGACGGACACTACCCAAAAAGGTCGACTTTTGAACATTCAGCTTAATATGAATGGAATTTACAATATATACAATTATAGACGTTTTTATCAGGAACACAATGACATCATTTAGGAAAACTATAATAGAAAAACTAACGTGATACCCAAGATTCTTCATCATTAGATATGCACTAGAATACCTGGAGAATGCAACTTTGAAAACAAAATATATAAAAAAAATATTTTTGTTTATTCTAACATCGCGCTGCAAAATCAAACAAATGTCTCGCCTTTTCTGTCGTCGACGAAATCTTATAAAAGACACCACAGCGTCAAAAGACAATGCCACAGTTGCATTGTTAGTTATATTTCAGTTAGGGCAAACTATGGGTGAGCTTTTTCTTTTGTCCCGTTAGCAAACGATAACCCTAAAGATGCTAAAGTTTTCCTAAAATGAAATTTATGTCCAAAACTGGAACGGAGAAAAACGCGTCCAAAGTGTTCAAACTCCTACCTTTTCTTTAGCATCGGTGAACATAAAATAATTTAGAAAAAGATAAGTATGCAGTGGTAAAAAACTGGAACTTTCTTTAAATACTCTCTGGATGCTGGTGGATGTAACTTTGGCATTCTTCAATATCACCTGTTTTTCTCATTCTGTTTTCTTCAGGGTAGTGTCCCTTTTTAAGTTGTGTCAACTTTTCACCAACTCGCCTGCGTTCGCAACGTTCCTTCAGTTTAGATGAGTTAACTTTACGGAAATTTTGAGATAGCTAGGAAGCAACACTTGCTATAGCTCATTGCCTCGGCTATATTTTTTTATGAAATGAACGTAGAATGTTTATTAATTTAATAAATATTTGATTCAATAAATGACGGAAGGAGAGGAAGCCTCAAAAAAATTGAGAGCCAATTCTTTCTGCCCTGTCAGTACCGTAAATTGGAGAGGTCCATTATCTGAAGTCCGACACGACTCGGCTGAGACAAAGTGATAAAAAATAGCTCGTCTCTTTGGTATTTTGCAGAGGCGCTCTAAATGCATAGCGTTCTAAATCCGTAGCACTTAGAACGCTTCTTTTCTCGTCCACCCAAAACCGAAATTCGTCGCACACATTGTGCATGGTATCAAATTAATCGTCTGTGAACTGGCGTTGAAACTGCCGGTCAACCGCTTTGCAATAACAACACTGGCTGGCGTCTTGTCTCTGCTGCGCCCGGCGCTCTCGCTTTGCAAACGCGTCCCTTGCCCTTCCCTCATCAACTTGCCGCGCCCATGGTTGCCTCACCAGCGCCGCTTTGGCGATACACAAAGCCCGCAAGCAAGAGCCTTTCACTGCCGCCGAACGCACAGTGAAAGGAAAATCCCCGCTCCAAAGTTGTCGTCGATCGTACGCCGAGCGTGATATCGGCGACCGCGCCGCACGCTCCACGCTGCACGCCCTATCAAGAAAACATCGACTGACACAAAAACGATAAGGCTGGTCCTATAGACTAGTGTAAACATAGCCCCCCTACTGCTGGCCCATGAGTGCAAGCATCTGCAGTTTGCGCGTGAACATAGCTTTTTTGACAAGCTTGATATTGCGCGGGCTTGTTCGCCCGAGCAGAGACGTGGCGGCGGCGACTGACCTTACTTGCAATCCTTTCTCAAACCATCGAAGCTGTTGCATCCGTTTGTACAGCTAATTGTTTATTTTATTGCGGCTCTCCACAACTTCCAAATTCCGAATTGCAAGACTCCTGCTGTCTATCTCAAAAAATAAAATATGAATGAAAAAAAAAAAACAGTATCTTTTATGCGATAAATAATGGTACAACCTTTTAAACAAGAACTCAGCTGCAATTATACATTTTGGATGTATATATCATACCAACGTCTCCAAGCAAATAGGGAATAAGTTGTCGAGAGAGTACCATTAAATACGAGCGCACAATTTTTCTTTAATTGTAAGTTCATTTTGAAATTATGCGTAGTCAAATGAGGCTATGTTCGGCTTATGTTACGTTGCAGAATATCTTGTTAATACTATTCCACATGAGCGAAATTAAAAAGTGACGATGCCGTATTGCCGCTAACTGTGTCGAGCCGTTCCTGTCGGAGATTGCTACAGACCTTTCCGAAAAAGGGCTCCCGACCGGTTCCATTTTAGTGTTCGTGCTTATGACTTGTGATTTGTTCGCTTTCTAAAGCGACAAACACGCGTATGTTTAAGCTCAGGCTACACAAACAAAACGTAGCTCCAATGTTCTACCTGTACATTAAGAGGCAGTTTCACTAGAAAACGGTTCTTCCAAATCTTAGAGCTCCAATGCATAGCGCGCGCGGAACTTACGAGAAGAAGTCAGCTATGTCTTCTTTCAGCCTCCACTTCGTCATGGAATCCACCCCCTGGAAAATAAACGTTTTACGAGTGTTAGCTAGCACAAGCATGGTTTCGAGGTAATTTCATGTACGCATAATGCGACAGAAAATGCCACATAAATAAAGAAATGCAACGAAACGCTATATCAAAAACAGATTAAGCAGCATAAATGGTGGGGGATCGGGGGTGATGTTGTATTACAAGTTGTGCTCCAATTTCAGCCATTACTATTCATTGAGTGTTGTTTGAAACTCTTCCAATCACCCATTTCAAGCGAAACAATACGCGGAATGAGCTGATAAGTTTATTCGGCAGAATAACAAAAACTTTCAGCCTTTCCACTTTAGTGAAGAAGGAAGACCAGCGGAGCTGTACAATGGAAAGTAATGACCGGCCGCAAGTCGGTGAGCCAAAGTGGAAAGGCTGCCGCCATCTATGAGCGACGGTGGCAACCAGATACGTGGCTTCCCGCCGTTGCTCATAGATGGCGGTAGGTGTTCAGAGTTCGGTGTCTTCATTTCTTTTGTGGAGGACAAGATCCTGGGGAAACTATCCCTTAACAGCTCCGCTGTAAAAAGATAACGGCGAAAAAATATATACGTATTAAAGACAAGGGAGCACCTCTGTGTAGAGTTTTCAATGGACTTTCATTCGTGATTAATACAAATTACAGATTTACATTCCTAATAAATCAAAGCTGAAATTAACTCCTTCTTGTCAGCGTATCTAAAAGTGACGGTAGAGATTCAGTATAGGATAAGCGTCGAAATAAGTTGTCTGATAACCAATATTAAGTTGTCTGATAACCAATACAAAAAAACTTCAAAATGAACTATTCGTTCCAGCTAGCGTTTATAAAATTTAACTTACAACTTAAAAAAAAGTTAGTCAATAAAAGTCATTTTCTTGTTTTCATATGGAAAAAGAATAGTGTGAAGTTTTTCCGCGGTAGGAGGCTTTTAGATATTCATCTACAATTATCAACATTGACTCTGAATGCTCAGAATCAGCCGATGTCGCAAAGGCACGCGGACGTAATGAGAAGTCGGTACGTCACAATATCCTACGCTTATTCACGACACCCCGACAGCTCTGATCGTAAGACCATTGTCATACACGACACAAGAACATAAACAAATCTACGAGTATGTGTATACATCACAAGTATATATGTCACCGTTCCGGATACAAAAACAAAATAATATTGATTGAAAATCAAAATCAGCATTTCTTCACTTGATCTTTAAAACTTGGTTTTGATATACTTTTACGTATGTTTAGCTCAAAAACAATATGCTTATTAAAGTTAGAGGGACGGGTAAGCTCCAATTGAATGACCGCATAACGACAGAGACCCAATGAACACGCTAAGAACCTTTCACGACGTTTCTTATTTGTAATTACTGAACTAAAACTATATAGATTAAAATACGCTGTGGTAATGAATTATTCTCCAATATTTGTTTACTGAAATTTAAGGTTTAGTTAGGAATATCTCACGAAACTGCTTGCAACCCATAAGAAGACAGTTTGTTTTTAAACTCTTATATGTGGGCATGTAAAGGCCTGTTCACACTCTTGCAACCGAGAACGACCGAAAAAGACGATACCGCTTTTTAAGTCTCTTGCGACGTTTTACGACCGGATGTGCTGCTATGGAGCTGGTCCTAAGACGTCGCAAAAGGATTAAAAACCGGTCTGGTCTATCTCGGTCTTACTCGGTCGCAAGAGTGTGAACGGGCCTTAAGAAAGTTAAAAGGGCGGTGCAACGATTTTTATACTTTGTACCAATGGCGCTTAGAACTAATCCATAACACTTATTCCTTATAAAACACGAGTTCGCTTTTCACCCCATACAATAAAAGTCGCAGAAAACGTTAATGAAAAACGAGCAGCGTTCACCTCCTCAACTCGCAGTCAGAACGAGCGGACACACGATCTGGAACCGATTATATGCCACCAAAGTTGATCACAGCCACGCGCTGTGGTCGGCAAACCACAGGACATGCTCTGAGTTCCAGAGATTCTTATGGTTCGGCTATTGTCGGTCATTGCAGCGATTGGGCACGGGCCACTACCCGAATGCATCTCGTGCTATCGATTAACACAAGCCCAAATCAAGTGCTCACAAATGCTCGGGTCTAATCTATGAGCCGCATTCAAACATCGTCACATGGGAGGGCGGGGGGGGGGGGGGGGGGGGAAGGGGGGGTCCACGTCGACACTGCAACACCCCAGCCACGTCATCAAGTTTTGTGGAGCGATTGGAAGATAACACTCACTTTTAATATTGAAATTACACCGCTAGAAGACGATTTTTGTGTTAGTGGCGATGCGTTGGAGTCTACTATGGTCTTGCCCGTGACAATAAGCTTGTGTAAAGTGAAAAGATTCCAACTGAAGATCGTTACACCGTCCCTTTAAAAAGAAAATTCTTGCGTATAAAGACAACTATCTAATCTAAAAAAACTTATTTGGTATCTTATGCATACGTCAGTTGTCTATGCGTGTGTAAAATGCCTTACACTGAAAATTTGTGTAAATGGCCCCTCTGTGTTTTTGTTTACCTCAGGATTATCTCTCACATATGCCCCGATCATCGCCCAATTACGGGCGTCATAATTTACGGTATAGTATCCATGCACACCAGGATTCACAATCACGGCAGTGTCTTGATGGGCAGGATCCTTCATGATACCTAAAGAAAACGTTAAAAATGCTCAGTTCAGTTCAGTTCAAGCTGGATTTCCCCAACGGCATGTTATTGTAAAACCAGTATATGGCTATGCCCTGCTATTTTTTCTCTTTCTTTTTTTTTTGTTTCTTTTTCTTATTGCAATTTATTATGCCGGCTTCTGCTTCAAATTCTGTGAGCAGAGTTTAGTCTATGTGTTACCATAGACTAAATCGCTGAACTTGTAGGTGAAAAAAAAGTTAAACAGAAAACGTCGATTTGAAGTCTACGAAGGGAACTTGGCGAATGACCGAAATGACCTTAGTTCTAGAAAACTCTCTGTTGTGACGCTGAGGACGAAACGTTAAGCTTAGTGTCACAAAGCAAATTGCTTATTTAGGTTAGGTTAGGTTAGGTTAGGTTACGTTAGGTTAAAAACATTTTGGGTCTTGTTCGTCGAGTGCCTTTCGTAGATCGCAGCGATTGAGTCTACCAAGTGCTTTTGCTGGAACGAAGACGCGCCAGATTTCTTCAACTGTGCCGTTCGCGTCTCACTAGGCCCTTAAATAAATGCAGACTAAACCCGAGAGTTCAAAAAAACAAAAAAAAAACATAAAAGGACGCAACGTTCTAAAAGACAATTCAGATAAGCTATTTCAAGAGTTCACTCGAAAATAGGAAATGATCTTAAGCCTACGGCTAGAAAAGTAACTTTCGATATGCCTAGACTTAGGATGGGAGCGTTTACCTCGTATTCAAATTTTAAATATCCATCAGTTCTTAACTATGACTCCAGGACTCTCTGCAACAGTGTATCATTCAATTATCCTAATAAAAATATTAGACCGCACGAAAAGTTTGCGACATGAGTTTCCCAGCAACTCCTGTGTACGTCTTCAAAACGCCAAAATGATACTAAAACGCGTTTTTCTTTCCAGTATTTCGTGGCAATTACATTCTTTAAGCGTGTATTTCAGGGTAAAGTGCTAAGTATGTATTATAATTTTGTAAGGTGCACTGATTTAGTGTTCTTCGATGATGCCCAGAAAATTTTAAATTGAAATCATGCTAATGAAAAGATTAATTACTCATTGTAGTTACAACCCTAAATACATTGAAAGTTTTGTTTTTAAACCTTCTTGAATAGGCTTTCTGGCAGAAACCCGTCTATAAGAGGATGCGACTTTTTTCCGGAGCGAATCGGTCCCCTTTTGTGAGAAACACCGCCATGTCTACTGATAAATGCTTGAAATATGTCCCTGCTTTCCTCACAAACAGAACAACAGTGCGTAACTTGAGCGAGTCGCCATTTTTGTTAAGAGGCTATCAATTGGTCAGGGTACATACCTTGACTTTTGGAAAGCCATATAACATTCCGCTTTCGGGGCTTCAATTCGTCGGGTAACTCAGAAGGTTGAAGAAAAGTTATCGGAATGCTGTAGATATAACTGCAAGGAATAGAAAGTTTTCAAATCAGACAGTAATACTAACTACAGTCGAATTTACCGAACAACAACCACACTGTTTCCCACACCCCCAAAACGGCTGTCTATACCAAATCTTTCAGCTAATACAAAAAAAATCTAATGATAGTTTTTTTTCTAGAAAAAATATTTCTCGTGAACAAATTGCCAGCCACGTCGGACGTCAGATTTCAAAGACATACTAAACGATAAATGTTTCATTGTATTAATCAAATTGTTATTTAGTGAAGATAAACAGATGGTTCCAATTAGGAACAATTGCTGAGCATCATCGTAAATCATTGAATGAACTCGTTTTAAGAAATATATCCGGCAGGTGCAGGGTTTTATGGCGTTCCGAGATAGCGTTTCATTTGGACGAGGTTCTAGGTCTCGGTTGTCTATGAGGTGCATCTTTGCGCCAGGAGGCCTGCCTCCTGGCGGCCGAAGAGTGCACCGTAAGTGCGTCATGCTTCGTTCCGTTCTACGAGGAAGGCGAGGCGGCAGCCTCGCGCCTTGGCAACGTGGAAGCGGGAACACTGGTGCAAAGATGCACTCTGGTAGGACGCCAAAATCTAAAGACGCGTCCAAATTAAGGTTTTCTTTTTTTGTATGTCGTAAAATGCCGAAGTTGCTTCTGTCCCTGAAAAATATGTTGATTTACTGGTTTTAATGTGGCTCAAAGGGCTTCTACTTTAAACCATATCTTTATTCTCACTAATTCCCAGCTTCATTAGAAATGTGTAGGTAATTATTTAGATAATTAGTCTGTTCTTTTTTTGTTGTTGTTGTTGTTGCAATTCCTGGCGTTTGCTGCGGCATAGTAGTGTTTTACCAGAAATGTTTCTTTTCTTTTTTTTTTCTACCTCCCTATTCTTAGTGATTTCTGAAAGTCTTCGTTGAAACACCCGGCATATCTAAGAGGTGTTAGTATGTCGAGCCTTTTCTAGCGCCCCATGGCCCTTAGATCGGCTCGTTGCCCGAACCGACTGCTGTCTGACGTCGCTTTTGGATGTGACTACCGTCGCTTTTTTTTGCGTTTTAGTTTAGGCATCTCAGTGTTTTCGGGGCCTAAATTTGCCAATGTGTGTGGCCCAAATATAGTCGTCCTAGTTCTGACAACAAAAAATGCCACATCTTGACGACGGACAATGAAAAATCTCTAATTAAAATACGCCCTACGGGCTCACACAAAACTAAGCAGGAAACGAGCTTAATTATAACCCTCATATAACCGAGAACCACATGTTCTCGCGTTTTGGCGATATTTGAAATCCAGTGAAATGATTCCTACCTCTCGCTGGAGCTGCGTCTTTTTTGCCTGAGGGTCACCGTTCCGTTGTTGTAGTTCCTCTGAAAATGCAACTCGGGAAACCCATCACTCTCCAGCCAGGACTTGGCATGTCTGGCGATGTTCAGCCTGGGTGCTGACTTGTCTGCCTTTTCATGGGAATGAGAACAGAAAATTAGTCATCCAGAAATGGCAAGATCCTATAATGGGGCCAGCTGAACTTAGGGAAATAGAATATAGAGATAAAAAGGGACAAACATGCCGCTGGACTAACAACTGTCGTTCAATACTTCCTCCTCTTTTTGAACCTTGACTTTGTACTTTTTGTTCTTTTTTGTTTTAAAAGCAACATAAAAACACAGCTGATATCCTAAAACCTAACTAAACCTAAATTTGAATCACCCGCATTTCACCGGGACAGAAAAACACTGCAAATATTGTTTTTCATTGAACTTCGTTAGTTTTTAGGATATAAGCTGTGTTTTTATGTGGCGTTAACACAAAAAAGGACGAAAAGCACAACGTCAGGGCTCAAAAAGAGGAGCAAGTATTAAACAACAGTTGGTAGTCCGACGGAATGTCTGTACCTTTTTCTCTCTATATTCTATTTTTCTAAATTCAGCTGGCCCTATTATAGCATTATGCACCCACAAGCTCAACTACAAACCGTTACTAAATGGGAAGACGTTTCTGACGACCTAAGTACGATATATAGGTCGTCGATAAACATTTTAATATATTTAGAAAACTTGAACTTTTAAAATCCCGAATAACGTCAAAACTCTGCTTTTGCACCCACTTTATTTTAAGTTTTCGTTCACTTGACGGGCTTTTTGTGCGGATCAAGATGTTTGTTTGTAAGAAAAAAACGGATTATCTTTCGTTTTAATTGATAACTTTTGGAAATGTCAGCTATATACCAAGTGCAAGGTTTTTTTTTTCAAAGAACTATTGACAATATAGTTTTTCTGCCACGTAGGAATGAAATGTTGACATCTAGACGGAACAATAGAACGATTTAGCACACCGTCATTCATGGACTGAAAGCCCTCAGGAGCGCGATTTAGGACAGGCTACGAAATGGTAGCATGAGCGCCCGATATCACTACCTTACTGCGAAAAACGCGATCTTTTAAATTTAGGAATAGGCTTATGACCCATCGTAAACATCTCTTAAAATTGTTTTCTTTTCTTTTCTTGAAACCATGAAGCAAGCCAAAGTAAGTCTGCATACCTAAATAAAGCATCAAAACCTTCAGTTGATTTAATTGCCGTTAAAATATTCGACGACACCTTCCCACATTCAGCACTCTGAAGCAGAGGTCTCCAAAATGTTTTACTCGGGGGCGGGATTTGGGTCTCAAAGGCCGAGAAATAAATAAGTAATAAAATAAAATAAGACCATATAAATAAACCTAGGTAGGGGTTTAAGTACAAAATTCAAGATAGTGAAAAAAAGGGGTTTAATAAATACATTTTATTGTGAATTTAACTTTTTAGTTAATTATGACATACAATAATTGTGAACCTGAAACTCACCGAGCATAAATGAAAGTATACCGATGAAATTTAGCTTATTCACACAGGGCTGAAGTCTGGTACCGCAGCTGTTTGGGTCACTCTCGGTTGCCCAGCGAACACCCGAGGGTGACCCAAACAGCTGGGATTTTCGTCATCGCTGGGTGCGTGTCCCTCCACGCTTCTGGCTTCACCTCTGGTTGCCTCATGTTACCCCCAGAAGCTTCTTACCTCCATGGCATATATTGACCTTTCCAGGGCTTATCACGCAGGCGAAAAACGCTGAGTCACTGGGCTCTGGACGCGTGTGCGGCGCCTCCTATTTCGCAGAAGAGAGCGACCGCGCACGCTCAGAACGGCTTCCACACCCCAGGAGACAAAGATGGCGGCCCACAGAAGGCACACAAATGGCGATTACAACAGTTAAACAAACATGAAAGGCTAAGAACGGTGATTCTGGTGATGACAACGGGCAATGTATGTACACTATGCTATAAGACACAGCACTATCAGCTTGGAATTAGAACGTATACGATGAGTTTGCTGAGCGTCGAGGCGGCGTTACGCGCTAATTTTTTGGCGCTGGTATCAGCGGTGGAGACGAGCGGCGGACCGAGCGTCGGTGGGAGGACCGTGGAGAGCCGCGGGCAAGGTCCTTGCCCCCGGGCCGAGGTTTTGGAAACTCCTGCTTTGAGCCATGCCTCTGAGATGTGACGACGCCATTTTGGTAAGATTCGTCGCCGCGAAAATGACTCTAACGAAATTTTCTGGTAAATTCGAGAACCGTGTTGGCTGATTCGAGGTCAGAATCTTCTACACGCCGAACCTTCTACGCCGATTGTTCCAGAAGCCCACGCGCGTACAAAAGGGGCTCTGCGTGGCAAGCCGGAGTCAGTCTCGCCCAAGCGCTTGATTCTGCTGTTACGCCGCTATCGACGCCCGTGACGCTCTGTTGTTATTTACTGTTTTTTTTTTTTGGGGGGGGGGGGCACAAGTTTGCCTTATTAAACGTTTAGTTTACTTTCCTTTTCGTCGCCTCATCACTTGCCATTCGTGACAATATGCCTTTGTTATGCCAATGTGTGAAAACGTTGTGAACCATTAGAAAACTTTAATAGAAAAAAAAATAGAGCGAAGAAAATCATTCTGGCTTTAATCGCGATCCTTCTTTTTGTGAAATAAAATTATTTAACGGCTCACAATATCCTTTTTTTAGGTTTACTTTAAAAAGGCTTATTTGAGTATTGAGACCCATGAAATAGGTTTTTCATTTGTAACTTTATTTAAGGTACGATATGCAATATTTAAAAAAAAAGCCTCACCTAGCCACCCTTTCATGGTAAGTTACAGCGCTGGAGAACGTCAAATTGATTTTTGATATTTGCTTAAAGTGAGTTAGAACAATGGGATCCTCGTTGCATACGAGTACGCCAATGGTAGTAATGATTTATTTTACTCACATCATTAAGTGCCTTGTAGAAGTCACGGGTGTTCATAGAGCTGAAGGCCTTCCTGTGGATCAACAGCTGCGAGGGCAAATTATGACCTTCAATTAGAATTTTTTGAGACTCCTCACGTATTTGTTTTCGCAAACGCGTTTGAGGCGAACAAACAATTACAGACTGCCAAGCGTCGTTCAAGACTGACCGGAACTTTTGTTCATAAAAAAAAAATATTGTACAATTTTAACCCGATGAAAATTGCGGGTGACGTTACCGCAATCCCTTTGAATATATTCCGCACTCATAATAACGCATTCGACGCATGCTCAGCAGCTCATCTTATGGCGACGAGCAATGTATTTCTGGCTGTGAATTGACGGTGTATTATGAGAATTGTAGTAAAAAAAAAACGTTAAACCAGCCGAAAATATTTTAACAGACTGGAAGCATAGCGCGGACAAGAGTGGACGAATAACTGTTTGGAGAAGGACAACAGCCGGTGATCAATTAACCCCATGCCCACGTTCGTCCGACTGCAGTAACGGAGTAGTTAATTTTTGTATGCCGAAAAGAGAACCAAGAAGCTGCCAAAACAACTGCAGTGGTGCCCATAGAAACACACGTCCAAAAATTTAGAGAGTTTCGTCCATATCGTATTTCGAATTTGTCTCTGTAGGAATAAAAGTCGGTAAACTTTGAACGATCTTCGTATTTTCTCAGAAAAGAGCCTGCTGCAAGTTAGAAAGTTAAGAACTGCACAAACCCTCATCGCCTGTCGAAAATCGTCTCCCATTAGCATGTGAAACATTCGCATGATCGAGTGAGCCTGAAAAAAGAAAGAGAACTAAAATAAGTAATGCATATTTTAGAAATGCTCCAACATTTACGCATTAAACATGGTGGCGCAATATTAGTAGGGTTACTCATATATTTCCCTTTAGAGTATTGTTTATCAGTCATATCACCGGCTAACACATGCGACTCATATCTCTTACGAAAGTTGTGTGTACATAATAACTAATCACAACGCCGGGGTGCTACTGTCAAGGTTCCTACAATTATTTTTGGAGGCACTAATTCGTCAGATTACATTAGTCGCGCTTATCTCGATATTTTAGAATAGGCGAACTGCATGTACTCCTAAGCTCTTCGTTGTCCGATGATCAAAAGTTATCTTGATATCCGAGAAAGATGCATTTTCCTAAAAACTGACTTGGTAGCCATCGATTGCAAATGAAACAATGCAATTTCATGTAACACTCGTTGTCTAACTTCCACAAAATATATTTCGCCTTTTCGCTTATATTTTTTGTAGTCATCGTGTTTTTATTTATCTTACTTATGGGAGGCTGAGGCAAGAGGCCGCAACCCCTCACGGAGCCTCTGCCATGTCAGGATTTGAATTAATTAAGCATTCATTCAATAAATTGATCACCGCGGGTTTCAGCATTGTGACCAGGCCGCTTGAGCCTTGCGCGGATGAACCGAACCCTGGGCTAGCTGTAACTGAAAAAACGAAATTTGCCCCTTTCTTTCCCTATCATGGGAAAGTGCCGTAAGCAGAAAATATGACGCAACGTTGATCTAGATGCGCTGCCAGCGTCGTTGTTTCTTACATCGCCGAAACTCCGGCACCATAACTCCCGTTTCAGTTTGAGTTATGTACTTACGTACAGTTTATTTTCTTTACCAAGGAGGGAGGGGAGGGAAACTCAGACAGATCCTTTAGCGCAAAAGACGAAAAAAGTCGCCTGACGTAATGTCAATGTCAGAAGAAAGATGGGAGAAGGGCAATTTTTGGCGGAACATGCGACAAAAAACAAAAAGAAGACATAAAAAATAATTCTAAATTCAGCATTAAGCACACATGCAGAAAGGACGCCATTTATCTCGGAATCTGTCAGAGTTCAAATACTTGTATGCAATGTATGTTGCTATTATTGGATATTAATTTGTTTTCTTACATTTTAAGTTTAAAATTATATGCACGCTATTTCTAGATCTGTCACTGTTAAAAATACTTGTACGCAAACTGACTGTACAAGGAGTTTACGAGAAACGAGAACCATATTTCTCGGCCCGGGTAAATGAACTGTGCATCATAGAAAGCTCCAACTCCCTGTAGAATGTTACGCTAATATTGGGGATAGAACGCAAAAGTTTGAGAACATGACATTACCTGGATCAAAAAATAATCGAGAAAAATGATATTTCACTATGAGCCGACATCCGCCTAAGCCTTATTAGTCGAAACAGAATTCTGCATTGTGGACGCTTGTGCGATTTATATCAGTGGGAAATACTTGTCAGCAAGAAAGAGGACATTGATTAACTAACGCGATAGCGTTTAGGAGGTCGTGTTGCAGGAAAGCCGGCGTCGGTGTCGGCGTCGGTGGTAGAGGATTGCTCGATAGGGTCATGACGTCACGGCCACGTGTGACGTCACGCCACATGGCCTCGCGTGGGAATTCCAAACAACCCACAACACCCAAGTGTGACGTCACACGCTTTGCCAACCAGACACACTACCGACTGGGCCACGCAGACCAACACCACCTGGACAGAAGGCCTCCACATGATCTCCTCTCCCTTCATAAAACATCATCAGAGTCGGATCGCGCAACTTTGACTTTTGGGCCCGAGCCCGGCCTTCGACGCGCTGATTGGACCCGAGCCCCAGCCGAACGCTGACGCAGCACTCGTGCCCAATCTAAAGCCTCGGTCGATCTGACTGGGATGACGCGTGCGGTGGACTTCTGTCTAGGTGGTGTTGCGCAGACACGGTTGCACAGCTGGGGAACGAGCGGGGGTTTCTATGTTTAGCTATTGCGTTCCACTCTGAAAGGCGAAGTTTAAATGGATGCTGAACCGAAATCTGGATTCCACAAAACACGGCGGCCAAAAGCGTACAACGGGATGCTACAAACACCAAAACATCATTCATACAACGATATCTCAAACGGATGACCGTGTTTTTTTTTAAAAAAGGACTCGCATTTGACAGATATGTTTGTCTTGTTTCTTCGAGAAGGAGAGGGTACGGCCTCGCGTCTTCTCCGCCTCGCAGCCTTGAGGGGGCAAAGCGAAGAGAGAAGGAAACGAGATATCTTGACGTCACGTGCCTCGTCGGCCTCGTTCAATCTCGGCCTCTTTTGCCAAAAATACGGCCGTCCATTCGAGATATCGCCTTACGAGTGGTGTTGCAGGGATTGTAGCGTCCCGCCTAGAGCTCCTGCATTGTTTTCTGAAATCCGAATTTCGGTTCACCATCTCTTTAAGCATCCACCTGAAAATTTTACTTGCTCTCAAGACTTTTTTAACTGAAATAGACGCTACAGGCGTTCACAGAGGCTTATCTTGTTTTGAAGACATTAGGCTTGGGGGACGTCGGCTCAAAAAGAAATCTTATTTGTCTCAGCTATCTTTTGATCCAGGTAACACCATGTTGTTAAACTTTCGCGATCTAATTCCCAACCACTAGCGTGGAATTTCAACGGAGCTTGAGCATTCTGTGAGATACAGTTTGTTTACCCGGGTTTAAAAACAGGATTTTCGTTTCTCGGAAGCTTCCTGTATGTTACTGCGCTATGGTAATCTTTTTTAATATTTTATATTTGTGATTTCGTTAAACTAGCGTTTTCTTAATTTTCTTTTCTGCGGTTATGTTAATGTTGTGGGAGGCAGAGGTTTTGTCAAGCAACTACTAAGTTGTTTTTTCTCTGCATTTCCTTAACATTTTGGGACAAAAAAAAAGAAAAGAAAAAGAATTTGAAGTTAAATTTGAGTTTGAACAAAATAATTCCCAAAATATCCTTCTGTTATACAAGATTCGCATAATTAAATGCTCACAAGTTTACAAGTATATGAATTACATTAAAAAATATAGCATTTTAAAGGGGCGCTGCAACGATTTTTGCACCTTGCGAAAATACCGCTTAGAATGGATCCCTGACGTTAATGAATTGTGAAACACCCGTTCGTTTTTAACCACATACAATCGAGGTCGCAGAAAAAAAAATTAAAGAAAAACAAGCAGCGTTCACCCCTTGAACTCGGAACCAGAACAAGCGGCCACGTGATCTGGAACCGATTATATGCCGCCAATGTTGATCATAGCCACGAGCTGGGGTTGGCGGTGCACAGTATACGCGCTGAATTTCAGGCGTTGTTATGGTTCGGCTATTGTAGTCAATGCAGCGATTGCACACGGGCCACTACCCGAACCAGGGATGGGCACTATTTCAAATACAAGTATTTGAAATACGTATTTCAAATACTTTGTGTATTTTGCATTTGTATTTAACTACGAATCGGGAAATGTATTTGACGTGTGTATTTAAATACTAAAACGTGGGTATTTCACATACAATTGTAATTAAATACAATTTTGTGTGCGAAAATACATCCCTCAAATTTATTGTCACACTCCAGAGCAGGAAGAAAACTACGTTCTGCACCAAATGCAGTGTCTCTCAATCAAGTACAAGCGTTTCGTGACTTTGTGATTACGGTACTAGTCCAGGGCAAGAATAGTGACGGAATCGACGTTCACAGGCAGACTGGCTAAACAAGTGCCTGTGACAACTTGTGATGCTTTCCAGCCTGATTTCCATCCATAGTTTTGCCTGGAATATTCTAAATGCGCAGGGCGTCCAGATTTTCGTAACTGGTGCAAGTTGCAACAATAAAAAATTCTCTAGCTAGTGCTGCGCGTCTTGGTCGTCTCGGTTCTTTGATGGTCTATACCAAAGTGTAATTGACAAAAAAGCTGCATGAAGCTCTGTACTTTTTTCACCTATTACGTCCAAGCTGATTACATTTTTTTGGTAATTACAATTCTATTACGTTACTAGAGCCTCGCACACTAACTCCCGAGTGTGCAATCCAAAATTAAAATGAGATACCCAGAAACCCGTTTTTTCGCCCTGAAGTCGCTGACGCAAATTTTGAGGAATGTACTTGGAAAAGTATTTGGAGGAGACCAAATACATTTGGTTGTATTTGTATCTTGTACTTAAATGCTTTTTTTTAAATGTAATTAGATTTGTAATTAGATACATTTTTGACGAAGTATTTTGTATATGTATTTCGATACATATTTGCATGTATTTTGCCCATCCCTGACCTGAACGCTTCTCGGGCTATCGATTATCACAACCCAAATCGAGTGCCCATGCAATGCTCGGGTTCAATCTATGAGCCGCATTCAGATGTCGTCACCGGAGGGTACCGTGATCCCCCAGTTGCGTCATCAAGTTTCGCGAAAGAGAGACTGAATGAAAACGCGCGCCTGTGTCCTTGAAATTACCCCGCAACAAAGGAGTTTCTTGGCCAGTGGCGTTACGTGCGAGCATCCTTGAGTCCCACTAGTGCCAGTAAGCTCGTACAAAGTGAAATACATTTCAATTGAATATTCTTGCACCGCCCTTTTAAATGCTATCGCACCTCAAAAGAGCTACCACGCACGGCGGCAAAGCTCTGAAAGCTTGGAGAGCTCGCTCGTTCACTGCGTGCTAGTAGCAGAGGGCGCCGCTGGCGTTTGTACGTTTGACCAGGTGTTCTGAACCGCAGGACTAGCTTTCATACACTGGAGCAAGACATCGTGGCTGGCTCCCGTATCCAATCAGAGAGGAGACGAGCGCTACGTCAGAGTTCGGTTGGCTCTCGCGCTTCGTGCTTCCATCGCTGGAGTAACAACCGGAAACCGTTAGGCGACAGCCAAATGACACATTCCGCGTTAAAAAAAGAAAAAAAAAAAGGTGACATACTCTACTGTTCGGTGCGAATTTCACAAGTTCCTGGGCGGTGAAAGCACTCTCCGTCGAGATGACTGTTGTCCGTTTGTCTTCGTACTGCCTGAACATCCGCTGTTGCAAGTAGTTCTCCTGCCAAAACACGAAGGGGACATAGAGCAGTGCACCGATTAAAACTCTCAGAGTTATATATTTTTTTCTTCTATTCGAAACGTTCTGGGGTTACATGTGAAAATAAAAAGACAATAATTTACCGTGTGCTATGTGTACTTGAGCCTTCTTCTACGTCAAAGTGAAAAAATAAAACTTGATGGGCTAATAATAAGTCTCATTTAATGAACACAGAAAAGGAGGGTCAAAACTTTCTCACATTCGCTACTTATTTTATTTAAGGAAAAACCACAATTGTCGGCAGCGATCTACCAGTTTTTACTTGATAGGAATAAGGCTGAGTGTATGCCTGTTTGTGAGAATCTTTCAATTTGTATTTCAAATATTTTGATTGCGAAAAGCTCTTCCTTCGATATTTTCGCGAAGCAAACGCAGACTGTAGTACCGCGTTTGTAGTCAATTACTGTAATGCGTACGATAGTGATTTTAACTATTCATTTCAACTTGGCTTGTCGCGTTTGGCGCCACGAAACATCTCACAATTACTACTGGGTGAAACAAGGAGACGGTAGGCTCCTTGTTTCACCTAGCAGTTGTTTTTCCGTGGTGTTATTTAGCTCAATGCAAAGCTTGCTTAGCCGTTGAGATAACCGTCTCAAAACACTTCGTGTTTAGATTTCATTCTCCTTTTTCGTGTGTGTGTGTGTGTGTGTCTATGTTTGTGTGTGTGGTTGTTCTTTTGAAAGAGAGGAAGGAAGTGAAAAGAGAAAGAGAGAGAGAACGTCTCCAACGTATTGATTGATGATGATTGGGGTTTTATGGCGCACCAGCAGCTTAGGCTCTATTGCGCCAGACAAAACTACTTAAGAAGGCTCTCCAAAAAAAAAAGGAGATTTTAAAGAGTTTTTATGATAAAAGTTATAGCTCATCCAGTCTTTTTTAAGAAAGTCAAAAGTACGGTCAAGTTACACTAAAGGATGATCGTCAACAAGAAACATATATGAAATGGAAAGGGAAATTTGAAATGTTCAGGGAAACTTGTCGGCGAAGTTGGTGATGAAATCTGCAATGCCATAAATTGCGCGAAACTCTCAGCACTTTCCAAGAATGGGCACAGAGCATTATGGCTACGCCACAAATAATATGAAGATGTGTCAGACGAGAATGGCCAATCCTCAGGCGGCAAAGTATTACCTCAAGCCGACGTTCCTTGTGGAACGAGCTCTCCCACAGAGCCAAGATGAATTTAATGACATGAAGTTTGTTGTTGCCCTCCGCGTCCCATTCCGACTGACTTGACTTCAAAATTGATTTTTTTTTTTTAAAAGTGGCTTAGGGTCCTCATAGACTAAGCTAAAATATGTTACCGAGTTCCTTGCACATGCAGCCAGTTTATCTCCTCTATCATTCCCTGAAATTTCGACATGACTGGGTATACCCAGTAGAATTTTATAGTGTGTTAAAGTTGTAGAGCCCGGCTTATACCAAACACTGTATGTAGTACAATAAGCTTTTTTTCTAGAAAGCCTAGAAGAAAAAGCTTGTATCACGCTCTGTGAATCGACAAGGAGGAGAGCCTTTAATATGCTGTTGCTCATGATACGTTCAATGGCTAGAGAGACACCATAAAGCTCTGCAGACTAAATGCCTGCCATGCCATCTGTTCGCAAAGCTTTCGCAAAGGAACCAGAATATAGGGAAAAACCAGTCTTGAGTAGTAACGCGTTACTAGTAATGCGTTACTGTAATTTCGTTACTTTTTTGGTAACTTGTAACTGTAACGAGTTACTTTTTAAAAATGTAACTTGTAACTGTAGTTCTATTACTTTTTTTCTGAGGTAACGATGAAAGTAACGACGTTCCTTTTGTCCTTACTTTCCAGTTTTTTATGAATAATATATCACTGAACGAGGTACAATTTAGCCATTTTTTGCGCTTTCCATTTTGTCTCTTCCGACATTTCGAGTGTCAAGTTATTTTTTGCACAGACTTGTGAATACGTTCTTTCTCGCCAGTCACGACCCGAATATAGCCACGTGTAGGTTTGGTGAAAAAAAAAGTAGTTATCTTTAGCACGTGCTTGTACTTTGTGACTGAACACCTGCATCTTAGTGTCTTGAAGAACTATCTCTTTCGAGTTTTTTTTTTTTTTTCTGCGCAAACGTTTTTTAATCGGGTGAATTAAACGTGAAACAACAATACACGCGGAGGGCACTGCGAATGTTTCGTATTTTGATTAGCGCCGCCACTCCGCACCGCGCATGTTTCGTATTTTGATTTGCGCCATTAATCCGGTGTAGTGTCTACAGTCGAGGCAAAATTTACTGCTGTTTGCGCGGGGTTTGTTTCTGGCTTGCCGAGTACAAACTGAAATATGTCCAGGGACTCTATGAACCCAGCGCAACCGTCAACGAGCCAGCAATGTGCTAGTGGTACAAAGGATTTGAATGTTGATAAGAGCAAAGAAAAACTACCATGGCAGGCGTACAGAGAGTATTTTGCTGACGTGGAGGAGGCTACTAACACCTTGACCGCAGAAAACGGCACTCTATTGCCTCACCGCCTACCCGGCAATCAAAAACCTTTTCCGGCGAAACAACACTGCAATCCCATCTAGCGCGTTAGACGAGCGCCTGTTCAACAAGGGCAGGGACGTGTTCGTTATCAAACAAGGGAAACTTTCAGAAACCAATTTCGGGAAGTAACTGCTGCTAACTTACAATACGAAGTAAAATGCACACTTTTTTAATTTTATGCAATAAACTTGGTGAAAAGCTTTTTCTAGTTTTTCCTAATTTTGTTGTGTTATAGAAAAAGTAACTGAAAAGTAACGTCGTTACTTTTTAAAAGTAACTGTAACTGTAACGAGTTACTTTTTTTGTTGCGATAACTGTAACGGTAACTTCGCTACTTTTTTCTGAAAGTAACTGTAACTGTAACGAAATACTTTTTAAAAGTAACTTACCCAAGACTGGGAAAAACCAGTAGAAGATGAAGATTTTGACCCATCAGTATAGATCTCAGTATGACCTCTATATGTCTCCTACAATGGCTGAAACCCCTGCTGCAGGGCTTGAGAAGAAATAAACCGGCTAATATTTTGTGAGCAACCAGTCGCAGAAGATTGGCACTTCGTCCCACGGAGCAACTTTTTATTTGTGCTTTAGTATTGCAACCCGGCCAGATTCTGACATCGAGACTTACTGATTTTTAACAGTAAACTAAAACTTCTTAAAATTTAGACTAAATTTGGAAGAACTAGAAACATGCTGGAAGTGCATACCAAGAACATTTGCCTGATCTTTGAGAGATACGGCAGGCAAAATAAAAAGAGGGGTTCGGAAAGTTTGGTAATCTCCTCGGACTTCGCGCAGACGGTACCACACTTCCTTCGCTCCAACAAAGCTCTTTATAAAGGAGGCATATTTGGTCCATAAAACCCTTTTAGCCTGTTTTTGTGTCCAATGCACTTTAGCCCTACTTTTCTTACATGCAATTGGGTTTCGATTGGTAGAGTACGGACAAAAAGACTCCCCCAGGCTTTATTCTGGTCCCTACGAGTGGTTGTGCACTCCTTAGTCCACCAAGACTGTCACCTTTTAGTAAGATGTCTAGATGTTTGAGGAATAGAATTCGAAGCAGCACTAATTATACATGCAGTGACATAAACTGTCACAATATTGGGGCTCATAGTACAAAGAAAGGATGGTTCAAGCACAACCTCCAATTCAAAAATAGACCAGTCGGCCTTCTCCAACTTCCACCTAAGAAGACGAGTGGGAATCGATAGAATCGGCATAACACTTTCTAAAATAACGAACAAATGATAGCTGCAAAAAGGGTTGTTTAAAACGTTCAATGAAAAAGATAGGAATAACGATAGTGACAACAGGGTCAAGTCTATAGCTGACAACGTGTTATGGGCGGCACAAATAAAAGTTGCTTCTTTTTTTATTCACAACACATAACCCGGATGATGATAGAAGTTGTTCAATAGCTCCACTACGAGAGTCTTGCCAAGAACTATCCTGCAAGGGGTGGCGGGAATTAAAATCACCAAGAATTAAAAATGGCTCAAGCAGCTCGCCGACACGTCCTTGAAGTTCTTGCAAATGCAGTGGAATGTTGGGTGGCAAGTAGAGCGATACAGGAATAAAGAGCTGTTCAAGGAGAATTCTAGCTGCAACTGCCTCAAGTGGCGCCTGTAGAGGGACTGGCGCACAGGCAGCTTCACTTTGTACTACCATTGCTACACCACCTGAAGGGCTTGAGGAAATGCTGTCCTTTCTGAAAACCTGATGACAATGTAGCACTTTTGTGTGAGTGTCACTCAGACAAGTCTCCTGTAGGCACAAGGCCACAAAACGAAGCTCCTAAAAAAAAAAAAAAATGTATGCCATCATTGTTACGAAGAAGGCCGCGACAATTCCACTGCATAATGCTGAAATTATAGACCAATGCAAAATTTATCATAACAAAATAAAAATAAAAGTCAAGAGTAAGCAAATTTACTAACACTTAGGCAAGCCTATCTTTACGCAAGGAGCATGTTTCTTTTTGGAGGTGTATTTTGGCCTGCCCGTGGTGCCACTGGAGGCTGATGTAGAGACTCTGAGCTCGAGTGGGGTCTGTTTTCACCGGACCTTGACCTACTCTCTTCCATTGGCTCAGCTGGAGCCGCAAGGGGCTCCACCTTGGGGGCCCGTAACCTCGACGGTTCGTTAGGTTTTCGTGATCCACCAAAGGCAGAAGGTGCACCCCGACCTCGCAGTGGCTGGTATGGAGGAGCAGGGGGTGCAGAATCCTGTGCACGGAGCGCAGACCTCTGTGCTCGGGTGGATCTTGACGGACCAGCATCCTGCCGCCATCTCGAGTTGCAGGACCGCGCACTGTTCCAGAGGAACCTTTTGTCTGCGACGGGGTGGCCTCCGTCTGCTCGGTTTACGCATCCGAGCCTTTCACATGGTTGGGGAGGGCACCTGTCTGGGCAGCTGAGCTAAAACGCCATAAAAGTTGCACCTTTAGCCTGGGTCCAGAAGACTTTAGTGGTTGCGCAAGCTCACTATATAAGACACTTGCGTTCCCACAGACGCCATAGGCGGTGCAGGTCCCCTGCTCACCGCCTCGGCAAGAGAGCCTTTCCGGATACCCAAGAGGCAATGCTTCGCTTTAGGATAGAAGATGTTTTCCTTTACTTTCAGGGTCACAATTTTTTCCTCTCTTTTGAAGTGTTCACATGACCTAAAATATGCGAGGTACTTGCCTTTACAATTGACACAGTCCATGTCTTCATGGCAGTCATCGGCGATGTGACCCCTACTACCGCACCTGACACATGTCTCGGGGCCACGGCAGGACCGCGAGCCATGCCCAAAGCGCTGACAGCAGAAACAACGGATAGGGTTAGGTATGTAAGTCCGGACCCTACAATTCAAGTACCCCGCTTTCACGGAAGAAGGCAAGGTGTTGAGTTGAGAGGCAAGTACCAGGTGTCGCGTAGGGTTAGCTGTCATCTATGCGGATGGTGATGCGTTTTACAGCATCAACACCCTGGCTGCGCATGCCTTCAAGACTCTTTTCCTCCTGGTGCTCCTTCAAATCGTCCTCACATATAACACAGCGAATGATGTTGAGTGTCCGGTGTGCAGAGACGGCCACTTTCGTGTCATTTGGCTAAGGCACAGCAACGCTGCTTCCTGATTTTTCTCAAATACTTTCACCAAAAGTCTCGGAAGAAAGTATTTTTTCCATTGAACGTTTCCCCTAGGCAGAAGGAAATGAAAGAGTTTCGACATCAGTCTCGTCTCAATTTCGGAATGTACAATGAAAAACTTAGTAACGTAGTTAGTGTTGCTTTTGTCTTACTCTGCTCTTAGGAAATATGCATCTGTGCGACCCCTTTTGGGGGGCCATCAGGAGGTTTAAGTTTGGAACCCATATGACTGGGGAGGCGTTCCGAAACTGTGGTGCATCGCCCACTACCGAGCCCAACAAGGGCATAGGTAACGCTTCATAACAATAAAACCTTGGCTGAAGACGTTACTCTATTAGTGCTGCCCAGTCTCTATAACCAAGTGTGGTTCAGGACAAGGTGTCTGTCGCCCCCCAAGGTTAGCCCTTGCCGCCTAAGAAGGTGGGAAAGGAAGAAAGAGAGTGTAGAAGAAAATAAAAAAAAGAGGAAGAAGGAAACTTGAAAGAAGGAAGAAGAGGGCAGAAGAGGCAACTGACTGAATCATCCTGGTCGGGCCAAGCCAGGATACCCGTCTACGAGAAGCAGTGGCCGAAGCGGAATATTGAATCGCCTGGGGGGCAGGATCCAAACGTACCCCGGGCTCAGCTCAAACACGAGGATCCCTTTTTCCCGGGACACGGGTTAACTTAAGCCACGCACAGCCAGGCGTGGGTGGGCGGATCCACATGGCTCGGGGTCCGTAGGGACGCCCCTCACCAAGCACCTACTAAAGTAGGTGCCCCCCTGCGTGGGGCATGTCGGCGCACGTGGCTGGGGTCCGTGACGTCACTCACCAACCATCTAACACCTAAGGTACATATTGGTTCAGGGCTTACTACACCCATAACTCGACAAACACAAATGATTTATACGTGTGCTTGGGAGAAGAGCGTGTTGGTTTAAGTCATGGATGAAGAAAGAATAAAACAATTAAAAGAGGGACAACACAACCACATCTTTCATTCATTGTGTGGTTGTGTTGTCCCTGTTTTAATTGTTTTATTCTTTCTTCATCCATGATTTATACGTCCGTGGCACGGGTTTGTAATTGCGAATGCGGTTCCCACAAAAAAGGCATGAAAGGTCTCACGTAATCTTCGTGCTCTCCCATTACATGGGTGACCCAATTGGAGAGGTAATAGGTCGGTGCTTCCTGTATCCAGATGTCGTTCCACCAGCTGTTGGTAGCAGTGTTTCCCAACCACTGACAAAAAAAAAAAGAGAAAGAACAGTAACTCTGTTTGCTGCGTTCTATTCTTAGCAGTTCCGCTTCACGATGAAAGCACACGTCGCGAGACATTGGCGACAAAACAGGGTTGCCAGGAAGTCAATACCCCATACCAATCAACATTTAAGAAATTTAGTATAAGCAATACGGAGTGGGCGTGCACGTAACGTCACGTGTGGCGTCACGAGGGTAAAATAGACCGGCCAAATTTAGCGGTAAAAAGTTTCTGTTAAATTAGCAGGAAATTTTTTCTGCTCAATTTGGCGGAAAAATTTCCCGTCAAACGTAGCGAACAATTTTACCACCAAATTTAGCGGAAAAATTGTTCGCTCGTGTCGTAGCGTGTGACGTCACATGACGTCACGCTAAATATAGCGGAAATTAACGCCACGTGACCTCATCATCAATTCAGTTTCCCAGCTAAATTTAGCGGGAAAAATTTTGCAAAATTTCCCAGCTAAATTTAGCAGAAAATTTTGCTAAATATCCCGCTAAATTTAGTGGGAAAGTATTTGTAAATTTCCCGCTAAATTTAGCGGGAATATTTCCCTGCTAAATTTTGCGGGGGAAATTTTCGCTTAATTGAGTGGCAAATTTAGCGACAATTTCCCGCTAAATGCAAGAGGAGAAGGGGAGGGTACGGAGGAAAGCAGGGGCACACCCTCCCCTCCGCACCCTCTCCTCCTCTTCCTCAATAGCTGTCTCTAATTCGGCATTACATAGAATTGGAAACGTCTTTCATTTTTTGTTTGTTTTTTAGAACGAGGTTAACTTATGTGTTGATATTTTTATTCCAAGCTTTAACCATCTATAGTTGCGAATTCCGGATACAAGCTCACCGGAGAAAACGCGCCCACTTTTGTGCAGGCCCGGAGAAAAGCTCACCAGTGTTTTGACAACCGGAGATAAGCTCACCGTAGAAAAGCTCACCCACTTTTGTGCCGGTCCGAAGAAAGGCAGTCTTTTCATAAACCCGGAGAAAAGGTCACATCGAATTAAATTACTATGTAAGTAATATTTCAGCAATATTGTGCTGAGGGCACCAGACAAAAAGCTTCCATGAGGTAGCTTGACTGGGCCTGGTGCCCCTGCACTTACAGGGCATTATAAAAAAAACAAGTACTACAGAATACACTTTGACTAAACAAAACAAACACGTACATCTTTTTTTGTTAAACAGTGAATATCATTGTGGTCTATAAGGAACTTGTTAAGTAATGAAGGCAGGTTATGCGCAATAGATTGGAGTGCATAATTTGTACGAAAATGAGGCACGTTCCAGAACTCTCTGCGTCTGACAAGGATGAAGGATTCACGTTTTGTCAGATGGGATACATTAGACAAAAAAGAAGCAAACTCAGCGGTCGAAAATAAATAAGAACATAGCAAACGGTACTCGTATACACTGGCAATCCTCATGATGTTGAATTTAAGAAATAATGGCTCAGTATGAGTGTCGTAAGGCACGTTTGCAATAAAACGCAGCATTTTCTTTTGTAGGATCGTGAGTTTGTTAATATTAGATTTGGTTGTTGTGCCCCAAACCAAATGACAATAGTTAATTTGTGAGCTAAACAGAGCATGATAAATTTGCATTTTAATATTTACAGGCAACAAGGAGCGACAGTGGCATATTATTCCAACAACTTTTGACAGTTTCGTAACTAAGTATTCGATGTGATTATCCCATTGCATATGTTCTGAAAAAATGACACCTAGCGTTTTGTGCTGTTTAACTATTTCAATCTGGTCAGTTCCAATCTCTAGAGTATAATTACTAATAACGTGCTTATTTACAGGTCTAAACAAAATTGCTTTGGACTTTACAGTGTTTATTTTAAGACCATTTATTTTTGACCACGAAAGAAACTTTTCCAAAACTAAGTTTCCCATGGGTATAAGTTCGTCCATATTCGATGCAGACAGAAATATACTCGTGTCGTCTGCATACATTACAAAACGTGCTTGATGGCAAATATTGACTAGATCATTTATATATACATTGAACAGCAGAGGGCCGAGTATGCTGCCTTGGGGCACACCAAACTTCAAGATTTGCAAAGAGGAAACATGATCACTCACGGAGACACATTGCTTACGGTGTTCTAAATATGAATGAATAAGTATCAAAGGCGTGCCACGTATGCCATAACATGAAAGTTTATCAAGGAGCGTCGAATGGTTAAGACAGTCAAACGCTTTGCTAAGGTCAATAAATATTCCCAGTGTCAGCAGTTTGCATTCTATATTGTGTAATATTATTTCTTTCTGTGATATCAGAGCGCTTTCCGTGGATTTTCCCTTGCGAAATCCGAACTGGGAGTCAGTTAGCACTGAGGTCTTCGTAAAAAAATTGTATAAACGATATAATATAATTTTTTCCAGCCCTTTAGAAAATATTGGAAGAACAGAGATGGGTCTATAATTTGTAACTAAATTTTTGTCTCCACCTTTATGCAAAACTGAAACTTTTGCGAGTTTCATGTTATTCGGAAATTGACCACTCGACAATGCTAAGTTAAATATATATACCAAGAGTGGGGCCACCACATCGATTACGAATTTAACGGGCTTTATTTGTATATCGTCTATGTCATGGCTTTTACTGTTATTCAATCCCATAAATACACGGATCACTTCCAATTCGTCTGTAGGTTGTAGGAAAATTGTGTCTGTTACACGGTGCGAGATAAACGAGGAAGCATGCTCATTGTGCGCGCTAGAAGGCAAGTTAGTAAAATGTCTGTTAAAGAGCTCAGATAGTTGTACTCCTGATACGCTCTCACCAGAAAGTGAAAGTTCATCTATTGAATTCTTCTGCTTGCTGCGTTTAAGCACTTCATTTATCGACTGCCAAACAATCGCAGGACGCTTCTTGTGGGCGTCATGAAAAAGACGTTTGTGATATTCTGTTTTTGATTTTTTAAGTGCAGATGTCAGTTGATTGCGATACCTCTTAAAAACTGCATGGTCACCGTCATCCTTTGAACAGAGGTACTCCTGATATAAGCGATTCTTTTTTCTTATCATTGTTAGAATAGGTGGCGTGACCCATGGTTTTCTTATTCGTTTTTTAGCAGTAACCGTCTTATATGGAAACGATGCGATGTATAGCGTCTTAAAAATATTTATGAAATCATCATATGCTTCGTTCACGCATTGCTTTGAAAAGACAGAAGTCCAGTCTGTTTGCATGACTGTGCTTCGAAAGGACCGCAGTTGGCAGTCGGTTATCGCTTGGAAAGTTACGAGTCTACCGACGCTCCGTGATAAATCACGGGTTTGAAAACAAAAAAATATTGGTAAATGATCGCTTATATCACTACTAATAGTACCTGCACTGCGAACTATAGTATTTATATTGGTAATAAAAACGTCGATACAACTTGCCGTAGAATGAGTAATTCTGGTGGGGGACACAATCACATTGCAAAAACCACTACTACTGAGTGTACTACTCAGTCGTGAAGAAAGAGAAGAGTTTTCCGAACTATTTACATTTAAGTCACCGCCCAGAACAAGTGAGTAGTTATTCAAGGATATGAAATCAAGATACCTCTCAAGAAAAGACAAAAAGTTATTAAAGCTACCAGCTGGCGGTCGATACATAACAGAAAGCAGCTGACGTCCGTGCTTCACAGTTACGATTTCATAGTCGTCTGTAATTTCGGTAAAGGCATCGAGTATTTCGCATCTAATATCCTGTCTAACATAGATACAAACACCTCCCCCTCGTTTTCCGCTTCGATTCAAAAAGAAGTGATTGTAACCCGGCACGATAAAAACATCGTCATCTGTTGCGTACCATGTTTCGGAAAGCATCACCGCTTCAAACGAAACACAGAGTTGATCTAAAAGAGTAATAAAATTGTCACTTTTACATTTCAAAGAGCGTATATTTAAATGTAAGATCGTGGTCGAGTCTTTGGTTCCTGCATATCGCTTTAGTTTAACAGGCAATAGAAGTTCATGGTATTCGGCCATGAAGCTAGAGGTTAAAAGGAAAAAAAAAGAAAAAACAACGGACAAACAAGTGCAAAGAAAACCGTGAATTACGCTGCAGTCGCACCAGCCTCAACGTTGCTTTCTGCACTATCGAAGTGGCGCGACACAGGAAGTGGTCCAAAAAATTGCCTGAAGATGCAGCCTTCTGGCCAGACAGACACGCTGTTTATCGCTTCAAATACTTCTTTGTCAACGAGAATGTGGAAAGACGCGTAGTAAGGAAGTTTGGTTTTCAATTTCGTGCATACGAAAGTTTTACCTTGCAAAACAGCAGCGACCAAATCCTCAACGTCCTTCGTACTTGTTTCCGGGGACAGTCTTGACACAAACAGGGCTCTTTCTTGTGGGGCACGTTGAATCACGGCTATCTTTGACGCTTTCGAAGTTCCGACAGAGGGCTTTACGGGCTTACGGCGGGTGACAAGGGTGAAGCCATCCACGGTGCTTCGTGGAACGGAGTCTCGTTGGGCTGTAGACGCTGCAGGTGGAAAGAGCCCAGTTGGTCCGATGGCATTCGCTGAAGTGTCAGCTGGCAGCGCTTTTCGAGGTCTCGGTGGGCTCTGCTGTCGGGAACTCAAGGCGGGAAACTCTACAGTGGCAGATGCGTAGGACGACGGACGAGAGCGGTCAGTTGTGTCTGAAATATTCCTGGAGCGTTGACTCACGAACAAAGAGACGGTGTCGTTGAGACGACGAACCTCTTGACGTAGCGAGGCGTTTTCCGCTTTTAGTCGTGCGAACTGGTCAACGAGCTCTTCCAGTACCGCTTGCATGTCTTTCTTTGATGTCGATGAACCTGCTGCAGCACAGAGAATGTCATCGGTGTCGGTTTCCGCGTCCATTGTATATTCCGTGGTTGAAATTCTAGGCGTGGGAACTTGGTCGTCGTCGTCGTTTTTTCGCTTGACGCATTTCGCACACTTGTACTGGCTCACCCCATCTTGCACGAGTAGGTCGTAGTCATCATTGACGATATTCACGCACTTGCAGTGAAAACGAGTTAAACACGCACAGCAAACAATCTGTTGCTGCTTGTGGTGAAATCCCGCGGAGCAGCTGCCACACGTGTCCTTCTGCCGCGCCATTCGCGCAGCGAATGGCGCGGCAGAAGGACACGTGTGGTGGTCATCATTTAATAGCAGTAGTGCTGCCAAGGTTTGAGGCGTCTCTCACGCAGGTGGTGCACCGTGCAACAGAGTTAGCGAAGGGGTCGATCAGCGTCAAACGTTTATCCCATAAGTTAGTGCCTCGATTGAGCAATTTCCACCGCACTAGAAGTTTTGATAGAGACCACGAGAAAGTAAGAAGAAGAAAAAGCACATCGCCCATTTTTGTTGACGTAGTGTACACACTTCAGATCAGGTCGCTCTGCCATGGGCAAAATATATATATATATTTTTTAAAACATGGTTTTTTAAAATATAAGGCTTATCTGATAATATTCGGACCAATATCACTGGGACTATAACGAGATTGATTGTTTAACGGAATATGCATTTGTAAACACGGCAAATTGTTTGATCAATTCTTCCGATCAGTGAAAACATTGCGGAAAAAAGATTTACTGCAACTTGAACAACTTCTAGCTCATGAAGACCCCGACACACTAGAACAAAAACAGCCGAGTTTCTCAGTTAGCGAAAACGCTGCATTGATTTTTTTCTTTTTGGCGATCTGGCTTTCTTCCAATACAATAATCCTTTCCCAGTTTTTGTTTCTATATTTTTTTTTTGCGTTCTGATTTGATTGCAAAGAGATGTGACGGAACTGACGAACGAAGTCAGACGTAGAAATAAAGCTCAATGGATAGATTTGCTCCAAAGACCGCTGCTTTTTGTTCGCGTTCAGTCCGATATCTTTCTTGTGTGGTGATTATTTGATTTAAATACAAAACATACGCGCATGTTGAAAATATCAAATGATAATCGAATAGTAAAAAAAATATTTTAAAATTTTTTAAATTATTGTTTTGCGGGAAAGGCTTCATGTAAAAAATCCTATAGTCGTCGACAGGTTGAGAGTAAAATGGAAGCTCCTCCAAACTTTTTCCACTTTAACCGGTTTGTTTAAAATCACAATTGAAGTCATGGTAATAAAACCCTAACTGAGAAACACAGAAGGGGACGAACACAGCACAACAGTCTCGGGTTTTATTGCCATGAATCATCACCAGCTCGCTTGTTTTTTAAGTATTATTGCAATTGAAGTCGTCTTGATTTTTATTGTCCACCCTGCTGTAGCCCTCGTTTCGCTTTTATGACAACTCATTTCGCGTGAGTGCTACCATATGTAATTCTGACGTAGCCGGGATAAAGGACAGACGACCTGTCTTATTTTCCATTCGAGCGAAGTAAGAATTGGAACCAGCGCTTCTTAAGCAAATAGTGAAATGTGGTGATTTGACAATGCGGTGTCGGTATGCTACGTAAAGGGTTATTTCATAAATACAAATCCAGAAACTACTCGAGGTAGCCTTCTGGTACACTGGTTATATTGCCTCCGTTATCTTTGTAATTAGCGTTTTGTCTGAATTATTTAGTTTATTTTCGTCAGGCAACACCTGACATCTTACAGTACGTTCGCATATTCTTAAATACATTCTACTAGTGAAGTGCAAAATGACCGCGTGAGCATAAAGCAATCCTAGCATTCTTCAGTTGAGTAAACTTATTCCGCATCGGGCAGTTTTGCCGTGAGCTTTTTCCGGATCCGACAAAAGGTCAGTGAGCTTTGCTCAGCATCGGACAGTTTTTCGGTGAGCTTTACTCCGATGATCTTTTCTCCGCCACCCATATTCGCGCCCTGCCGGAAATCTCAGCTCAATACCTTAAGAAACCAATCGGACCGTCAAAAGTGGGTTCAAAGCGTAAGTCTCCATGCTGCAGCGCTAAAGGCAAGGCCATGCCTTGTCTTCTAAGTAGAATCAGAAAAAAAAAAAAAAAACACGCGTCCGCCCCTTTTCCCCCTTTTCCTTACACACATACAAGAAAAGAAATCTTTCTATGCATAATATATTGCGTTCACCAGCTATGCTGTCAAATTCTTTTCTTTCTTAACACTCGCCGAAGTGTCAAACATTGCCCTCGCGCGTGATTTGGATACTTTTCGCTGACGACCGGACTTGGTGCTGTTCACCCGTGGAACTTTCTTTTTGCGTTAGTAGGTGACGTCTTCACCTGGAGATTCTTCTAAAATTAACTTCGTTGATAGGTAGCCCTCCATGAGTGATAGCCCGTAGGATTCTATATTTCTATACACAAACTTTAAGAGAGCGTAATCTCCGTCAGGATGATGACCTTCCGTTCAATACTCTGTACTCCTACCGGGCAGCTTACCTGATGAATAATCTCGTGAGAAATCAAAACTTCCGTCTGCGAACCTTCTTCCTGTAGTCGATCCTCCACAGCGAAAATTGCTCCCCAGTTCTCAATGGCCCCGAACCAGACGTAATCGAACGTAAAGAAATCTGATACAAAAAAAAGTACTGATTCAGTCTCCGCGGGACCGTGTGAAGATGCGATAAAGAAGGACATGCCGGGTGTTTGATTTTAGTTCGAACAGATTTATTAAAGACAGCATCGAAAGGACATCGAGCGGCAGTTCATGTTTGTGAACAGTCAAAGGTTATATATAGAGAATTGCCAGCATGGGCGCTTAACTGGAACCCAACCGTGCAAGCATGTGCACCGTGCATGTGAACGTAGCTATGGCCAGCTTGTTAATTCGCGCACTTGCCAACACGAGAAGAAACAGGTGACTGCCTGATGCGGTGCTTGTAATCGTCTATGGTAGAGTGAACTAGAAATGATTGAGTGGGGCCACCGGAGTGCTATTTCTAAAGCTCCGCATGGCAGAAAATTATAGAGGGCACTACGAGCGAAAAGGCTTGGATTTACAGAAACAAGAAGTAAACGAATTTTAATCTGTAAGCTATAGACGCTTTACACACGCGCTAAATTACAGCCACCATTGCTGACCTTCTCTTGTCTTACCGAGATGCCGAGCAACTGAAACGGTAGTTGACGATCCTCTACAAAGGCCGATGCTTTAGAAAAGGACACAGTTGAATCTAATATGGCAATAACCTGGCCTGCTACGGTAATGATGAAGTGAAATAAACGGAATATGAGGAAACAAAAACTGAAGGTCAGTTATGGCGGCGTCCACGCACAGCTGCTGCAAAGCGCCTATTGACCAAGCGCGCAAATAATTTTAATAACAGAGAATGTATTTTATCAGCCGTTTTTTTTTATGAAAAAGCCTTACGTTCCAACGCTACGCTCGACCAGCACACAGGTCAAGGCAATAAAAACAATAGAGATCCGGGCTACATTTTTTATGCAACCTAGACGCCAAGTGTCACGTCAATACATAACGTCACAGCGACCTGACTTGTCGTCACAACTGCCATGCGACATCACAACGACGCCTTGACGTCAACGTCGACGTCGACGTTGACAACGCGAGTTACACGACATCAAGACTGCGTTCTGAGGTTATATTGCGTTGACAACGACATCGATGTCCACGCTGACGTTGACGACAGTGTCACGCGACATCAGGACGACGTTAACGTGACGTCATAGCGACGTTTGACGTTGCGTGGGGCGTCGACGACCACGTCGACGTCGTCCTCAAAGCGACTTGATGTTACGAGCGCGTTGCAACGGCGAATCGATGTCGTGTATCGCCGTCGTTCTCGACGCGACGCGACGCGACGCGACGACGGCCTGATGACGGTATCTTGGTGTCGCGTAGCGTTACCGTCGACGACGACGTCGTAGCGTCGTCGTAACGTAACGTCGTCGTATCGTCACGTGGTGTTTTGACGTGACCTCTGACGTCAAGACCATAAAAAATACAATTAGCCTCTAAGGGGCCATATTGCCCATATGACCTTGACCTTTGTGTCGATCGAGCGTAACGCTTGAGAATAACGGTCGAGCGCGCCGGTGGAACCGAAACAAGTTTTCATAGAATTCGGCTGACAAAGCCCATTCTGCGTTAAAAATATTCCTTTTATCCTTTGTTCAGTTCGCTGGTTCTAAACTAGACTCGTTGCATAGAAAGGACTAAAATACCAGGTATGTACTCTTAGTGGCAAAACCTCCTTTGCCACAGCACAGCAATGCGAGGTTGTTGGGGTGGCAAAAATTAAATTCCTTGCCTCGAAATTTATGCCAAGAAAGGGCAAAATCCTCTCCCGCCCACGCCAACTCAAGCATGTTGCTGCACCCAAAATCAAGGTGAACCAAGTCACTTCGATCACAGCGCCACTACGCCAACTTTCGGCGTTCTGAGCTTCAAATGAAAGCATGAGCGAAGTCTATAGCTCGCCTCACTTAATCATTTCTAGTTCACTGAATCTATATAAAGGAATCACTGGCGGCTATACCTGTATTCGCAACTAGTAAACGTGTGCTGACGGCGAGCTTCCACAGTTCTTTTGCAGCGTGCAGTTCGAACCGTCAAGACTGCCGGTTTTAGCAGCCAATCATTGTGAGTCCGTTCTGAACATGCACTCCAAACATCGCCTTCAAATAGGGCATCCAGTGAATACCCCCCACAGTTGGCTCATTGTTATCATGAGTCAGATAAAAATCTAAAATATATTAATTAACTCCATAGAGTTAATTAATCTATTTAATATAGCTCAAGAAGGTTCTTGAAAAAAAAAGTGTTAGATGTGAATTCTGGAGTATTTTCCCCGTGAATCTCAACATCACGTTCGTTTTCCTCGAAGATGTAAAAAAATTGGGTTGTGTGTGTGTTTATACAGCCTAGAACTTGGTCTGCCTCACAGGGGCGACGAGTCTCCCAGCTGTAGATGAGAAATTTAGCCAGTGCGGTACAGCCGCTAGCCTGGGGGTCTTTAACGTGCATCACGCAGTAGTGATACACGACCGCACGCCGGTACGATGCTCATCCAGATCGAAACGGGCAGGGGTGGGGCTCGAACCCAGGATACCTGGGTTCTGCAGCGCGATCGAAGATGTAACTAAACGCGAGAAAGCGCAAAAAACCTCCGACCGGTCGTTTCGACATAGCTAGATATTTTGTCCGCCAAGCGCGTGTCGCTCGTGTGGGCAGCGCGTGCAATTGCAAGTCTTTGACGTACATTTTTTCGCACTCACGCCAGCCGTGACGTCTCTTTTTGACCTTTTCAAAAATAGCAAGAGTGCGCGCGCACAGCTTTGACAGGCGCTGAAGATGCGCAAGAGCAGGAATTCCGGAAACTTCTAATATAAAGTCATGCCCCGGGAAAAAAAAACTTCAGCGGTACTTAAAAAAAAAAAAAAATATGCAGCTTATGTGAACCAGATTCGAAGATAATGTCGATATTCGCGATCCTGGAGGCCAAATGAAGACGATTTAGGTGTTTTTCCTCAAATACAGTTTCCGTTTAAATAGTGAAAATATACATATGGTTTAAATTAGAAACTTGCTGAGCGTCATTATATAGACCACTTAATCTATTAACCTTAGAAACGCTTGAAGCACGCGGTAAGCACGAGGAATCGCTGAAGTTAACGCACGTGCAACAGACGCTGATGGTAATATTATAGTCTGAGTTTTCACACTAGCGCCAGACTAGCGTCTGTTGCACAAGGCGTAAAGTTTTTCTTTTTTCTTCTTGGAATAAAAATTAAACGCAGCGTATTTTCTGCACTATAGCCCGAACCCAAGGTGTAGTTTGTAGGGAAAAATTTCGGCTGAAAATTTGTTTTCTTGGATACTCCGCACTTGATGATGACTTCTTTGTTAGCGGGCGAAGAGTATATCATAAAGAAATCATCAATAAGATAATATCCTTCTTACAAAATCCATAAATCTCGTCATTACGAACGATCTTGGGAAAACAAATCCTTGTATAGTCCGCAGCTGTAAATAGTCAGCACCACGTCAAATTTAAAATTCTAGATATGTGTAGTTCAGGGATTGTACAATGCAGGCAGGCTGCCAATATCTTCACTACGTTCATTTATTTTCTATCTCTCTCTCTCTCTACAATACAGACGAAGATGAAATTCGTTGTAAACTTAGCCTTCTAAACGACACTGCAAAACATCGCTCTTACCAAGTTTGGGCATGTTGTATGCCATGTCAAAGTATTTCTCGAAGTAATCCAAATGCTTGTTGGCCATGGCCACAATACTGGACATTCTATCCTTCGGGATATTGTAACTGGTCAACGAGACCTGCAAGACACGACGTAATTCGTTCGCAAACAAAAGATAAACAAAACAAAAAAATAAAACGAAAGACAACGACACGTCAAAATTTTCTTCGTATTCATATGCGCCTTCCTTAAATCTTTTTTGTAGGCGAACTCTCATATGCAGTAAATCAATAACTCGGCAATCCCAAATGATACGGAAGCGGTCATGGGTTGGGTTCTATCACAGAAGTTACTGTATTCCACTATAACACGTAAGGCTTGATAAATCCAATATGACCAATATCAGGATCAAACATGTTTTGACCTTCAAAATGACTAATATCGTTCTGAAAACAATATATATATAGCAAATTAAGAGAGAGAGCCAACATTTAGAGAGAACTCACTCTTCAAAGAAAACCTACAACTGCAGCCACAAAAACAAAAAAAAACAAAAACACGAGCATATTTTTATTAGAAGTACAGCACCAGTTTAATATCAAAGTAGATTTTATTGCTTGGGCGAAGAGCGTGTTGGTTTAAGTCATGGATGAAGAAAGAATAAAACAATTAAAACAGGGACAACACAACCACATCTGTCATGGTTTTGGAAAAAAAAAAACCAATTCAAAATAGAACACTATTGAATACTTCGCTTATCAAGGTTACCAACATGACATGCATGGTAAATCGAAATTAACTGCGCCCCTCGTGTGTGTGTGTGTGTGTGTGGGGGGGGGGGGGGGGACAACACGCATGACTGCGTGAGCTTTTTAGGAATTTCCTGGACTGTAAACATTCTACCACTGTGCTCCGAACATGTGGTAAATTTTTCTACGATCAGTTGCGCACTCGTGCACATAACCCATGCATGCGCGCTCGGTCTCCACCATGTTGGAAAACGGGCACTCAAGAATAAATTGTGTTGTCCAAGCATTAGTTCCGTAATCAACGCGCAGGTTGATATTAAAACAGCCTACAAGATTCCAGGATTATATCAGAATTTCATTTATACGTCAACGTTGTACCCGATGGGCATTCTAAATGTGTAAATCCTGCGACCATTTCTTTTTTCAGCTGGAATGCCTATTTGTGTGCTGCTGCTACCCTTATAACTTTGCTTTTATTTTGGATTTCGAATCTGGACGGACAATCAGCGATATGTTCGCCTGTCTCTAAATGACTCTGTTGACTTCGTGGAAGAAATAGATGAAGGCAATAGGAGATGTGTTGCGTGAATGTGTCCCTCAATCTATCGCGATACGCCTTACACAAACAGAAGAACTACACATCACTGCCGTGACCAACTGCCCTGAGGTCACGTGACCGCTTCATTTTTAGCTTGCCTTGAACTTACCTTGCCAACTGTCAACGTTTTGTAGTCATAGAACAGCTGCCATGCAAGCAGGTATGTGGACATGACCGGCGTCTGTTGGAAGATATCCGTATCCTTCTTTTTCCTTGAAAACATACCAAAAGAGCGAAAAACCCAGAGAAGGTTATATAAATATATATATATATATACATATATAGATAGATAGATAGATAGATAGATAGACGTGGAAATGGAAAGAGCAACAGATCATTCCTTCTTATTTTACAGATCTGCTACCTCGCATTGCGTAAAACTTAAGAGGAATTGAAAGAGAAACAAAAAATGAAAGCCGTTTACAATTCTCTGTAACGGCGGTTAGAGCGGAGCTCTTGAGGAGGAGAATGGAAGCGTACTAAGCGATAGGGTGACTCCTTGAGGTCACGTGAGCTCAAGGGGGTCACGTGACCTGGGGGGGTCACGTGAATTCAGGGGTCACGTGGCAGTGGGTCACGTGACCTGAGTGGTCACGTGATTTCAGGGGGTCACGTGACCTTAGGGGGCCACGTGACTTTACGTGGTGTCGCGTGACCTGAAGCGGTCACATGACCCCGGGGGGGGGGGGGGGAGTCACGTAACCTTCTAGTCACGCCGACGGCGACGCCGCTCAAGCCGGGAACGGGCCCCTAAGAGCTGCGCTCTAAAAGATGAAAGCCGTTTACAACTCCCTGTAACGCCGAATTAGGGCGCAGCTCTTGAGGAGGAGGAGGGAAGGATCCTGAGGGGAAGGTATACGCCCTCCTCCCTCCTCCTCACGTCCTCATCATGTCTGCCACTCCTCCCTCCGAGCGGCGTCGCCGTCTTCGCACGAGGGTCACGTGACCTCACGAGGGTCATGTCACGTCACCGGGGTCGCGTGGCCTCACGGGGGTCACATGAGCCCTGTGAGGTCACGTGACGATGACGATGACGCCACCAGTGACGTCACTGTTGGCGTCATCATCAACTGATGACGTCATCAATGACGATGACGATGCAAGTGACGTCATCAGTGACGTCACTGATGACATCATCAGTGGCGATGACGATAACGATGCAGATGCTGATGACGTCACTGATGACGTCATCACTGACGATGCCGATGCCGATGACGTCATCAGTAACGTCACTGATGACGTTATCAGTGACAATGACGATGGCGATGCCGATTACGTCCTTGATGACGTCAGCAGTGACGATGACGATGGCAATGCCGACGACGTCACTGATGACGTCCTCAGTGCCGTCACGCGTCCCATAATGCACCGCGCGGTTACGCCGACGCCGACACCTACGCCGCTCAAGCCGGAAACGGGCGCCTAAGAGCTGCGCTCTAAAAGGGAATTGAGGCAGAAAGGGGAAACAAGCGCTATGTTTTCTCTAAACTGATTTTTAACTATTACAACCGTCTATGGCAAAGACGCTAAGACTCGCGAGTTTTCTCAAAAAAAAAAAAAATCTTAAAATACGTGGTTTAAAGAGCGACGAGCCATACTTCGAAGAAGACGAAGATAAACATTATGAAAACAGCGGCTCTTTATCGGAGCGCTTCTTTGCGCCCGCGGTCCTGCTCCCCGGTGGTCGCGGCGCGAAGCCACCTCCTCGCCTCCCTCGTAGGATCGGGGGAAGTAGGGCGCACGTGCGTTGCGCGTCTCAGCCACCGGGAAGCAGTGCTGCGGGCGCTTAGATGCTCTCCAATAAAAAACCGAAATCTAGAAACCCGTCGAAATAGAGCGTTTTTACAGAACGTCGTAAAATGCAGCCCCGGAATTATATCCTTCCAAAAAGAGTTCATTTAGTGGTTTCCGATGATGCTCAGCAAGTTTCAAATTGGAACTATACGTCTATGTGTAATAATTAAAAAGTCAATTAACAAATTTTACTTAATTAGCCCACTGATAGTCGCGACTATCTCCCTATACTATGTCCGCCTGGCCCTATAACTCACCTGCACTAACAGCATAACCGTAGCTTTCACGGCTTTTTTTAAACAAATCTGAAAGTATAATAAAAAAGAAAAACCGCATCTCCACGTGGTGAATGATGTTGATTGGGGCGAAGCTCTGGTGGTGCTTGCCTGCATAGACGCTGAGCCGCAGCATGCCGAGCATTTCGTTCGTTTTCATCCATGTCACGCTGCCGTCAAATTCCATACCACACATTCTCGTTCTGACATAGATGAAAACGAACGAAAGGCTCAACATGCTGCGGCTCACCGTCTACGCAGACAAGCACCACCAGAGCTTCGTCCCAATCAACATCATTTACCACGTGGAGATGCGGTTGTTTTTTTTTGTTGTTGTTTTTTGCCCTACACAAGCACGGGAGCACGTCTTCACGTGCTCGTGAGCACGTGAGCTCACGAGCAGGAGTACGTGCACCCGGCGGCGGACGGACGTACGGACATGGCTAGCCCCTAAGGAGCTTCGCCCCTAAAACGTATATGGCGTAGTTTTTAAACTCCCGGGTGATTAATCGTATAAACATATAAATCAGGCCCATTTATATTGCTGCGGAGAGTAAAACTGCCACCTTGTGAGTGTCTGCTGGAAAGAGAATACATACCCGCTCTTCGTACGCAACAGTGGCATGTTACTGATGGTTGAAAGCGACTTGGGCCTGACGAGCGTGACGTTGAAGGTCGCTTTGAGTGCGGGCTCGTCGAAACACGGAAAGGCTTGGCGCGCCCCGTCGGGCTCGAAGGTCGTTGCCCATCGGTAGTTGGTTTCTACGGAAATGAGGAATAGACCGATTTCACCCACCAGCCACCCACCAGCAATGAATCGAGTGAAGTTTGGTCATTTTGCACGTGCCACTACCTCGCTGTAGCTCTGCGCGTTCAGAGCGAGGGTCGTCTCGAGCACTTCCGCCTGCCTCCTGTGAACTAAGGTTATGGCAGCTTCACGCATGCGCCGAACGCTTGGTGAAGTCGGTCTATTGGTCTACCGCATACCTCGAGTGTAAGAAAACATTTCAAGGTCTGCTGCTTCAAAACTGAGGGTGCTGAAGATCATTTGGCATTAATCTAAAGCCTCCAAGTTAGCTCGTGATCGACCAGTGAGAACGTGAGTCAGCCGAATGCAGCACTCGTTTCTAATTTTTGTGCTTCGCGGCGGCCTCAAGTCCGTGACGTAACAAAGAGTAGCATCGCGGCCTTGTTATATACGAGGTGTTGGTCAAACGACATGATGTTCTCATGGCGAAAGTGCCAGGCTTTTCCATGCGGGTCACCATGCGGGCAACCAGCAACACTGGGTCGGCCTTCCGAGGATTGCCAACGATCATTACGCGGAGCGCAAGTTCGTCTGCTTCTTGCACAAGGGTTGCGGTGACGTCATAACGACGCAAAGCTCTTATTGGCTGAATAAAAAAAATTGTGGGTAGACCTTAAGGCAGGAGGTCTACCCACTATCCTTTCAATAAAAGCCAATCAGAGCTAGGGGTCATTATGACGTCACCGCAACTCCTGCACAAGAAGCAGACGACTTGTTCTCTGCATAGAGTTGCGTTATCTGTTCGTCCATCGACGGCAATAGGAGTCACGTGATATTGTCAACTTCGGCGGTGATGGCTGGAGAACCTAATGACCTCGAGCTTCCACCTTAAATAAAACTTGTTGTTCGTAACTGAAAACCCTGGTCATGAAGTCATGGGTAGGAATCGGATGTTGGAAAACTAGCGGTTCTGTGGAAGTTTGCCCGTATCGCCAAACGACTGACTGCATCTTGTCGGTGGACACAGTACCGGCGTCGGTCATGGAATGTGGAGTGCCAAAAGACGTATGAGAAAATGAACTCACTGTATTCGCCTTCGTCATTTTCAACCGCAAACCCCTCCTTGAAGAAGCCGATCTTTTCTGTGCTCGCGAACTTTCCTCGAAACTTGAGCGAGATGACGCATAGCGGCGATCCCTTCCGGAGGGGTCTCTCCAGCGGGAAGTAGGCGAGATCTCCCCTGCGCCGTGGTTGGCCGACGCTATTCTGGCATCCGCCCAGCTTCCAACTCCTAATTTCGAGCTCCGAGGAGGCGTGTAGCACAATCTCGGACGTCGTCTTCCGCACGTTGAAGAAGGCCTCCACGTTGCCGCTAAAGTGGTTGCTGTTCATGGCTGTAACGACAGGCATATTACGCGTTAGGCTTTCTGCAATGCTCACGAACAAACGCACAGTGGGTTTGCATTGTATGCAGCACAAAATGGCGCACACTTGAACACCGAATCGAATGCATTTGAACATCCGCGGAAATGTTGCGTCTAAAACAAATGAGATGGCGCAACTTTTTTTTTAGGCGATAACATTTCTGGGCAAGCCTTACGAATTGATGCGTCCGTCGATCGGTTGATATATAACCAACGAAGCAGGCGGCATGCACGTATCTCTTATGTACGAAATAAGCATCCACTTCAATTGAGCGTACAGGGGGAAATGCGCCGGAGAAGGCTGCCAAGCGGAGGGCCGAATTTCCCTAGCGGACGCCTGAAATTTCCCTGTTTCTTCTAAAATTTCTCTCGCTTGCCCAAGTAATTATGTAATACTAAACATTCCTTATCTTCTGAAACACTTTCATTTTTACTATGAGAAATATATTATATGCGGAGCGTAAGTTCGTCTGCGCTTGCGATGCAGGGGTTGAGATGATGTCAGAGCGCCGAGCTCTTATTGGCTGATTGAAAAACAAATAGTGGGTAGACCTCGAGGCAGCTAGCATTGAGGTCTACCTACTTTCCTTTCAACCAAAGCCAATCAGAGCTCAGCATCGTTCTGACGTCACTGCAACTCCTGCACAAGAAGCAGACGTCTTGCTCTACGGATAGACTTTACGACTCGCGTTCGTTTCGCAATAAACTAGTTTATCGGGCGAAAACCATGGCCAAGAAAATCTGGCGAGGGGTAGTGTTACCGGGAGATTCAAACTCACGAATGAAACCCTATCTTTGCCCTACATGTTACGCACGTTATCAGATACAGCTTTAATAACTTCATTGGTGCTTTTTATAATAGACTGTCCAAAAGAATCATAACAAAACATTACACGCGAGAGTTCTCAAACTCGAATACAAAGAACATGACGGAAATTCACGAAATAGTATGAGTCATGGCAAGTCTGTTCCTCGAGACATTGCAGTATTTCTTCTTGTACTCAAGCTTTTTTTTCTTTTGAGAAAGCACAGCGGCGCTCTCAGAATCTTCGACTTGGCTGGTGCCTTCCTTCATAGTTTTCAGGGGGCGATGAAAACTGATTTTGCTGAAAAATGTTGGATGGATGAATGAATGCTAACGGCTGTACCTTTTATAACGAACGGTACCTTGCACCACCTAGCCTAGTACTCCTCAGTGTTGTCAGATGGTCGCATCACAAACCGCCATTTGGCTGAAGGAAATAACCCAAATGTTGCCAAAGCCGCTAAACTTTGATGTCTTCTCAAACAAAAACAAAATCATAAATAACCTATAAAATTCTAGATATATATACGGTGCCCAGAATTTCCCTTAAACTAGCAAGATTACCCTTATTCCCACATAAACCTGAATATTACCATATTCTGGGAAATGTTCCTCAAGTTGGCAGCCCTGGTGCCGGAAGATTGATACGTCATGTATTAACTTCTGAATGTCAAACACAGTTACCAAGGGTCTTGTTATACTATATTGATATAGTAGAAGAGAAACGTTGACATTATCCAATAATGATAGATCCAAGGTCGATGGTTGTTCGCGGGATGCGCATCCGCGGAAGGTAGGGAGTTACATAAGAAAATTATGTGAATTGGTGATAAATGCCAGTGAAGATTTAATGGACATCGACGACTAATATTCTTAAAATTTCCACGAACGTTCCTAAGCAGTTTAATAAAGTACCTTTTACGCAAAACAAAACCGCGCAAAATGCTATCAAAATTTCAACGACAAACTGCGCAGCTATTTTGACAACAACTTTTAAAGCTTACCGGGGAAGGATTGATGGATCAGAATTAAGTACAAGATTTATTACGAACCAAGCTACCAGAAGCAGAACAAAGTGCGCATCGCGCGCGGTTCGCATTTTTCGCGCTTTGGAGAAAAAACTCCTACAAAAGCCTAATTCGCATGGTGCAATTTCGCTTGCGATTTCACAGTTGCGACGTCGCTCGTGCGGCAAGAAACAAAAAATTGAAGCGTGGTGGAGGCTGCGGAGCATAAAGTCACAGCTGCGAAACCGCAAGCAAAATCGCATCTGAATCGGCCTAAATCCAGGGACACTTGAAAGGTTATTTTCACCTGAGCGCAACTTAATGAGGACATTATAGTGCGTTGGTTTGAGATCCTTCGGCAGGCGTGGAACCGGTTTACCGGACTCTGCCTCCCTCATGTCGGGAACAACATCTCGGGTGCTGGTGAGCAATGTCCGTGAAGCAGAGCTTCCCCAAAATTCAGTAGGAGACGCGGAGCTTCGAGGAGTTGTCCTAGGATTGGTGGACGTGCTAGAGGTTTCGATGCCTGCGTTTCCACCGGTAGAAATCTTCGAGGCTGGCCATTCTGTGTCTTTGTTCCTCGTCGAAACGTGCTGAGCACTTGCAGAAATGGTAGACGTCGAGTATACAACTCCGCCCGTCGGGTAACCAATAGGCAGCGAAGGGCTATTCGTCGTAGAACGTGGCGACAACGTTGAAATCGACTCGTTTCTGCACACACAAGCAGATACATAGTACAGTCACTGTCAACTTAATAAACACGGGGAGTGGTTTCTTATCTGGACGCTTCCTGACTCGGTTCCTGATGTTTTTATTGGGTAATGCGGCAATCTCAGTGGCTGCAGTGCAATAACAGATTCCACCCCCTGCGGTTCTTAAGTACCATATAGCCTCCCTTTCTATTGCAGTCTGGGTTTTGGTTTTAATGTCGTATTGGTAGCAGTATTTGTGGACATAGATCGGGCAATTGTAGCTTGATGGTAATTGACGTGATGTTCATATTTCAGCATATCTCCCAGTTATGTCTTATAGCAGCATGCTTGCTGATATCAGACGAAGGTGTATGTCAATTGCATGTCGAACTTTCTTATTTATAGGTGGGATTCCGTGTTTTCAGAGCTTATTTTTCGTCAATTTCGGAGAGTGTTTTTCGCAGTTTATTTTTTTTTTTCGAAAAATTATGAGTTTATTTTTGTTTGATTTTAAAATCTGTGAAATTCGGAGCCTGATTTTACAGTGTTTACTTTGAAAAATAAAAGTAATATCCGGGTGTAAGCGTATGCTATACAAAGAAAAATAAAACGCGCTTATATCAATTAATATTTCTTCAGCTTGATTTGGTGTTGGTGCCATTGCCAATGGCAATACTAATTTGTCCTACGACAAAAGTTGCACATATCTTTGGCTTCGATAAACGTCGATGCCTTAAAAATAAACTCCTACAGGTAGTCGTTGGGAAGCTCGCATTCGTACCATCCTATTCCATGCTACCCCGCGGCCGCGCGACCTGAATTCCTAAAGGACGTAATAGTGAAGTTTCAACTTTCCCTCTTCCAATTTTATACAATTTCTATGGTTCATAGCCTTAACCGTTACAAAAACAAAACCTCTTTTTCCTCTTAAAACACAAATAGTATGGCCTAAACTGGAAACCAATACAGATGATTTTGTCGTGACCCGAAAGTACAATGGCATGTCGCCCTGAACCTTGACGGGATATGCGGTAAAAGCATTTTGTGAAGAAAAAAAAAAAAAGAAAATGAGTGCGCAGGCGAGCTGGTTGATGTTGACCGGAGACTGTGGTAAAAGCTGGGAAACTTGATCAAAGAAAAAAGACAGGGGAAAAGAACCTCTTTTTTTTTTTTCTTCGACCAAGTTTCGCAGCTTTTACTAGAGTCTCGGGTATTCTTCATGATGAACAAACACCCTTTTGTCCATGATCCGAAAGTTGAAAAATAACTCTGGTGGCTTTTTCCAGGGACCATTGACCCTGAACGCTGGTCAAACTTAATTGTAAAACACCGTCTTTATTTCGTTTATTTGGGGGGGGGGGGGGGGGGGGGGGGAGGGGGGGTGGCATTGGCACATCGAAATTCAGAGTTTATGGGATAGACCCGAAGAGACCAAAATTTTGCCGGCGGGTGCTTTTCCGAAGTTTTTCGGATTTATACCAAAACACAAAACCCTATTTATAAGAAACGACTTAAAATTGTAATGCCTGCCTGAAAATGAAATGTAAGTTACTCGCGTGACCTTCTTGTGAGATATCACCTTATATCTAGATGAAAAAATAAAAAAAAAACCTTTTTGTTGTTTTGCAGCAAAAACTTAGCGCGGAACCTGGGCGGCTTGCGAGCAACACGAAAAAGGCTTACGATCTCCTGGGGTTGCTGGATTTTCGAAGAATGAGCAGAGTGGTGACAATGAAGAAACACGCCAGGAGTATCGAAACCGCCAACACCACCGAAACCACGGCCCGAGTCATGACGGTCGTTGACTTTGCTCGATTCTCCTGATGATTCTGCGTTGTTCATAAATTTAGAAGTGAATAAAGAGGCTCAAGGTTCATAAGGTGGTGGTTGACTACAAAAACAGCTCCATTTATACAGAATGCAGGCACGCCGTCCCGGCATGCAAACATGTGCAGTGTGTGCGTGATGGTCACCTCGGCAGGCGAGCAGCTGCTCAAGCTTGCTCTCACCAGCAGAGAGATCGTGACTGCCAGATGCCCTATTCTGGGCTACACATACACCCTTACATATTATTTACAAAACCATAGCCCAGCGAGCGATCACCTAAGCCAAACACGCGCGTGTTCGTAACTGACTTTGAAGATGGTGCCAGCCAGAAGCCATTTAGCGGATCAGTATAACGTCGTTACAGTGTAACGTTGTCAAAGCAAGCGTAGTTTTCACGGCGCTGTCATTAGCGGTAGGCGAAAGAGACGCTAGGTGAAACCACGTGCTCGCGCAGCACTGCGAGGTTGCGGCACTGTGAAAACTAAGCTAACCCTGACTACGTGAACTGGTTTGAATTTTTCGTAACAAACTCCGGACAAAAGAAAAAAAAAGAGTACAGCATTCTGACAGTTCCAGTTCGACATTTAAAAGGATGCCGAACAAAACATTTCCCTCTCCATAATCAGTGGCGCACGATGCAAGCGGCTGACTCGTG